AAGACCAGCAGTGCGAATCTTTTTCTTTATCACGGTAATGAGGTCAAAAGTCAACTTTAAATGTTAGTCGGGGGTCAAATGTCAACATTGGTTAAACGCTTAAACAGTCTTCTTCTCAAGTTCCATAAGGCCAAGGGTCATGATATTTGGCCAATAGGTACATGGGATGGAGTGCTATAAAGTTTCCTCATTAAAATGACCTTGACCTAGTTTCAAGGTCACAGGGCTCAAATGTTTAGCCACATACCATACTGTTGCTTTGAAGCCATCTTAATGGAAGAGTTGGCTGTTGTTTGGTGTGTTTATAGTTTGAATGGCAAGAACATAAGGTTCTGAGTTATCGTCCGTTGTGTTTACTCCAGCAGGGGTAAAACATTAATTGGGGAGGGGGTGTCGGACAAGGTACTGAAGCTTGTAAGGCCAGTAAGGTTCAGACTTTAGTGTACAGTTAGGTGGGAAAGGTTACAGGAACCGGGCTATAACCGGAGGTTTTAACCCCCTCAGTCTATTTTTGGCGATCAGAAATATAATATGTTGACATCCTAGCAAGGAATATCTGTTCTAATGAGAGGTACACAACAGGGTACACCATGTATTATATCTAACGTGGTTGTGTTTCCTAATTAACCTGAATATGTGTGGAGGATGTCCCTAGACAATATGGAGAAGCTGGAGGAAATTAAAGCCATACACTAAAAGTAGATTGGCTGATACAGAACCGTAAAAGATCCCTTACAAGATTTTGTAAAAATAAAACTCTGCCAATAGCAAAACGAAGAATTATTGTACAACAGAGACATTTTGACCAGCCAAACTTTCACCCTTTACTTGTTTAATCCATATTTTCCCTCTGATTATAATTACTCTATAGCTTAATGTGTACTAAAGGGTGAAAAAGGTGAAAGTTCAACTCCTGCCAATATTTCACAATAGACAATATTGTTTGGGGCTACTCTTTTTAAACAATAATGAACTCTTATAACATTTTTTTCTTGTAATCCCAATGATGACTTCACGCTACCAGCTTCCTGTGAGAATCAATGCAATCTGGACTTCATCACGCATTACATGTAATGATCCATGTTCAAGTATTAAAGCAAATCGCAAATGTTGCAAATGTTCTGAGTTATCAGGGATAGAGGATCTCAACATTTCTAGAAATATCCTTGTAAAGTTGACCTGGAGGGTCTGGCTTATCATCCTGCTGTAAGGTATTTATACCCTAGGGTACGGCAGCAGCAGGCTCGCAGTGTTTATAACCTGGAGAGGTGCTGGCCTCTACAGTGTGAACCACTTGTAAATGTAGACATACTGAATTATCACAAACGAAAACATTCCTACATGTAAACACTTTGATAAGTTATAGAAACCAAGTGGTTCCTAAGGCAAACAAACACTTCATTTAACATAATCAGTTTTGGAAAGGAAAAAACACTTAATGTTGTAATGTTTATAAATAGTTTTAAGATGTTTTAAAGGAAATATATGACAGTGGGTTTTTTCAACAAGCCTCTAACTTTGTCAATTTGGGAAGAAAAAAAATGTAAATAGAAAACTACCTTTGTATAATAAAATATTTAAAAGTGTTCATTTCCCCTTTTACAAGAAGACAAATTTCCTTTCTTACGAGAAGACTGTTCAATTTGTTTTAATCAAACATTGGTTCATATTAAATTCAAGAACACAAGCAGATTTATTTTTCTTATCTACAGAAGTTGTGAAAAGGAAAACTGTTCTTACTGTGCTTGAAAGCAGAAAAGCATTTGTTCTTACGTACGGAAATTTTTATTTCAATTTTTGAAAATGAACAAAACTAGGTTCCAACTGTGCTCAGTGTGTCTGCGTAGATTAGATAACGAGATATTCACCTGCCCAAGTCTAGGATACCAATAGCTGCTTACGGAGGCTGACGATTGTTTTGTTGTTAACATTCCTCCCTAGATTGGTAGCCTCACTGCAGGCTTTAACTACTTACTCTCCATTTAGTAGGGTCTCTGTAGTTAAAAGATGGCATTCTCACTGTGTCTGTATAGCCATTCAAAATCTAACAACTTCGCCAACACCTAGCTATGGTGACAAATTTTTGGAGTCGTGTATGTAGACAAGAAAAAAATTTGAACTAAATTTCATCATAAAAAATAAGATTTTTTTACCCATGATATTACAGAATTAAGCATACAAAAGATAAAAATAAAATATCAATGATGCAAGATATAATACCAAAACAAAGGATTATCAAGTTGAAATATATTTATTGTACAGGTGTAGAGGTTAGGATCTGGATATTTTTGAGTTTGGTTAGAGATGGAATGGGAAGGAGATAGCAAGCGATAAGTTAATCTGCATACCATCTGTGACGACCAAAATAGCTCCGACAGTTGTGTGGTTGGGTGGTAGTTTAAGAATTGTACATCAACCCAAAGATATATACAAAGGTACATGGAAATGGAAACAACCTGGTTGTGTTTCTGGCAGCTCCTCAGGAAAGGGAGGAATGTCAGCATTCAGCATATGTAACTGTTCTAGAAGTTTTATAGGTAATCTACAAGATTGATATATATAGATGTTTTTTTTTCTAAGCTATGTCTATCAATACCTCAGCTATGTCCCTATCAATGCCTCAGCTATGTCCCTATCAATACCTCAGCTATGTCCCTATCAATACCTCAACTATGTCCCTATCAATGCCTCAGCTATGTCCCTTTCAATACCTCAGCTATGTCCCTATCAATGCCTCAGCTATGTCCCTATCAATACCTCAGCTATGTCCCTATCAATACCTCAGATATGTCCCTATCAATAACAGCTTTGTCCCTATCAATAACAGCTATGTCCCTATCAATGCCTCAGCTATGTCCTTATCAATACCTCAGCTATGTCCCTATCAATACCTCAGATTTGTCCCTATCAATGCATTGGCGTTGTCCCTATCTACCCCTTTGCTCTGTCCTTCAGTGCCTCAGGTTTGTCCTGGTCAAAATCTCAGCTGTGTCTCTTAGATCAGCTTTTGTGCCCCTATTAACCCATATATGGTAATAGGATCAAAGAACGATCAAAATAGCGCACCAATGTGGTGTGTTGCGACTGGCTTCGGAATCAAACACATTTCTTCTTTGCTGCCTGCTTAGGTGACACTGAATTGACTAAAATTGGTCTGCTAACCAAATATTTAAGACTATCTGTCTTATCAGAATAATGGGCTGAGAGATGTACTGTGTTCTGTGTATGGGATGACAAGTTTCAGTTATAATTACCCGCAATGTATATTCCTTCGAAAGTGTACAATGTTGTCATACTAAATATACAATATGCTGCAACAGATATAGCAAACAGTGCTCATCATAATGACAGTAAACCATTTACATCGTTATTAGGGTATGTACAGCAGGACATTTACAAACCATGTACATCGTTATTAGGGTATGTACAGCAGGACATTTACAAACCATGTACATCGTTATTAGGGTATGTACAGCAGGACATTTACAAACCATGTACATCGTTATTAGGGTATGTACAGCAGGACATTTACAAACCATGTACATCGTTATTAGGGTATGTACAGCAGGACATTTACAAACCATGTACATCGTTATTAGGGTATGTACAGCAGGACATTTACAAACCATGTACATCGTTATTAGGGTATGTACAGCAGGACATTTACAAACCATGTACATCGTTATCATGGTAGGAAACTTTTCAACTTACCAACCATGTACATAATTATGTACAATAGGAAACTTAATTCCCAAACAAACCTTATATACCTTGTTATGTGGTATATAAGTCCCTAGTGACCTGTATAATGTTTGGTTTATCAGAGTGGAGGGATAGAGTGTTTTGTATATGTATGATTGTGTTAAACAAGATGCATCTAGTCGCTAATTTTCACATATACACACAAATAAAACATGCATGATTTATAACATGGTTGTGATGCTCAGCTTAATGCGGATTGAAAACTGATATATTCTGCTCTTAAAAAAGCTTATACACCTTTCGATTCTACGCTATATCATAATACACATTGCTGAAGTAGCTACATTGTAAATTATGGGATGTGGACTCGGAAAGATTTCAGATCAATAAGGTGTAAAATCAAGATAAATGGTGCATGTGGAATTAAGAATTTTGAAGAAAAACAAAACAAATGCCAAGTAGATAAGAAACATCTCTGTGGATAGTTGTTCATCAACTGTTTCACTCACTGTGAACGTGTATATATCATCACCATTCGTCTCCATTTTGTTTCAAATGTCTCTAGTTCTTTGTGAAGATGTAAATCTCTTCCAGTTGGAATGAAATATATATCTGCAGAATAAATTACCGTATTTACCCATCAATAAGCCCATGCCTGGTTATAAGCCTGTCCAAATATATTGCAGTTCATTAGAAATACAAACAAATGCTGTATCATTGTCCTGTTATAAGTCCGTCTCGGGACTAATGAGAGATCATGTGTTTGCCCTCTGGGCTTATTGTAGGATATATATATATGGTACATAGAAAGTTGTAAGAGATAGAAATATGAAATGGCCTTTACTAATATATCTCAATCAATGACATTTTATGTAAGACATCTTCATGTTAATTTGTAAGCCAAGTTGGTGGCAAATTAAAAAAGTACTCAAACAATTGAACAATAAACATTGTAGGTGTGTTTGTTGAGTTTGAGAATTGAAATCCTTACAAAGAAGTACTTTGAAAAATGGCTGCAGCAAAATAAATGTATTCAAGAAGAATTCTGGTGTACAGCAGATTACGTACAGGCCCACATATAAGCTTCATCAGTCTATGTGTTGATGTGCAAATTAGAATGAGTTTAAATGGACCCGTAAACTATACATCATAGACATTGAGAATTATTGTGTACTATATACACATTTTTAAAACATTTGTTTTGGTCCATTGTCCATAGATGAACTGTATAATGCATATGATTTCATAATGTTTTACTGAATGTAAATTTTATTCAGACTGTATTTTTATCTTTTCAGGAATTCAGAACGGTTAGCATTGAAGATCATAAAAAACATTGAGAAGTATCGAGAGGCTGCTAAGCTGGAGATTAACGTCCTGGAGAAACTCCGAGCCAAGGACCCTGATGGACAGTTGTAAGTATATATTTGTAGGACTGGGGATGATTATTTAGTCGTTATAAAACTGATCCTGATGTAATATTCTAACCTTTATATTTCCCCCTTAACATTAAGGAGGAGGGGTATGAACTGTTTACTTTTCCATTAGTCATTGCAGTGTTTAATCTACAATTCATTTTTAAGAGTCCTTTTCAACTGTATTGCTATAAACAATGAGTCCCACAATGTTAAATTTAAGTATTTCCAGAAATTCTGCGAGTCCCATAAAAAATCTATGAGTATAGGACTCGGGACTCGCATGTAGATTTATCACTGCAGTCTTTTGTATCACATCTTGGTTAGACTTTAACTCATTCACCCCTGATATTTCATAATGAAGTATTCCTACCTTTGAATTGGAATAGTTCAAATGTGTCTTCAGGGGTGAATGAGTTCAGGTTTAGCTCCATTTCTGTAACAGTAAAAGTTCAACAACCTTCAATCTTCACAATTATGTGGGTACTTATTGAAGAGTACTACACCAATATATCAATGAGTGTAGGTCACAGTGACCTATATTTTCCACTTCACTGACTTTGGTTCGACTTTGCATTAGGCTCCTTTTCTTTGGTAAGACATTGAGTAAGTTTAGCTCCATGTTTATAGAGTGGGAGTAGTGTATATATATGCTTTACAAACACTTGCTTGTATCAGAAATGTTCTAGACCTAAGGCAATTTTCTAAGGTAAATACCAGTGATTTTTTGGCAAAGTTTTATGGCTGAATACGGTCTGCTTCCCCTTGCTAAAAAGCGCTTTATTTTCCTAAAGTAAAAAAAATAAAAATATTTTCCCAATTACAATTATAATAATGCTTTTCTTGCCAAATTCATTTAGAAACAGGTTGTTGTAAAATTTAGGTTGAAAAATCACTAAATAAGCTTATTTGGCCTGAAAGTTTTCACTAATGCTGTAAATATTATACACAAGATTATGAGACTTGATCTAATTTTATCAGTGCACTGTGGTTTTGTTTATATCCAGGCTTCGTGTTAGTATTATGGAGTGGTTAAAATGTAAAAGAAATCCATGAAAATGTTTTGTTTGCTTACAGCCTCTGTATCAACACGATAGAGTGGTTCGACTACCATGGACATGTCTGTATAGAGTTGAAATGTTGTTTTGTTTTGCTTACAGCCTCTGTGTCAACACGATAGGGTGGTTCGACTACCATGGACATTTCTGTATAGCATTTGAAATGTTGTTTTGTTTTGCTTACAGCCCCTGTGTCAACACGATAGAGTGGTTCGACTACCATGGACATGTCTGTATAGCATTTGAAATGCTAGGTCTCAGTGTCTTCGACTTTCTGGTAAGTTCCTTGACATCTAGGTCACACATATGTTGAATTGTCGGAGATTTGATGTACATACGGTACACAAGTAACTAGAAAGACTCCTAGTGGATGTTATGTCAGTAGGAATAGGACCATATATCTGTATGTTAATCCATTGATAAACATATTCTGTATGCTATCTTTATGATTGGAGTGTTGACGGGGATCCAAATAATTGATACAGTATATGTTGTATGCTATGGTAACTGTTTGCTGTTCAAATTATTGACAATAACTGTATGCTATCCCAATCGTTGACACATACTGTGCTATTTCAATCGTTGACACATACTGTGTTATCCCAATCGTTGACACATACTGTGTTATTTCAATCGTTGACACATATTGTATGTTATTTCAATCGTTGACACATATTGTATGTTATTTCAATCGTTCGACACATACTGTATGTTATTTCAATCGTTGACCTATTTACTATATTGTGTGTTATGTATTACAGAAGGACAACCACTACATACCTTACCCTATAGAAAGTGTCAGACACATGGCCTTCCAGCTGTGTTACGCTGTCAACTGTGAGTATCTGACATGTCACCTGTATGTTAGCACCAGAGTATTACATGTATCTGTTATACATTTAAATGTTGGGGGTGAGGTGGGGGTTGTTGTTGTCATAGACACTTTAATGTACCCTATGTTTTGACATTTGTGGGTGATAGTGTATTTACACTATTATATAAACTTGTTGAGGGTACAGACCTATCAAAATCAAAGATCGTCTGAATGTTAACATCATTAAATAGATGCTGTCTGGGGAGGATGTATTACCAGTGATGAAATGGATACTGGGAGAGGGGTGGGGAAGGGGGAGAGAGAGGTGGGAGGGCAGGGGGGTGAGGGAGGGATCACCAGAGACATCAATAATAGTAGGGTCAGTTACAGAAGTCATTTGAGCCACTCGGGGTTAGGTGATATGGTATGACCAAATCATTAGTCAAAACATGACAGAAATATATATAATTCAAAACATTGCTATCTGGATTTAAAATGACCATGAACTTGGTCAAGCTAACATATTACAGATTTTTACAGAGTGAGTGTACTAAGCAATGAGAATCAGGTTAAGTAGATACAGGATGTGGTAAATTTATGTTGTGTATTGTGTAGAACTATCATTATAGTGTAAGCTACATCAAACCTTATATAAAATAGACACGTGTATAAACCAGACCATCATTTTGACCTTATTTTATACATTTCTATGAAAAATTAACTTGTAGAACCGTGTAAACCTGAACAGACAACTTGGTCCCACTTTATAGATATTTCTATTTGTATTAAACCTGTGTAATGTTGAACGTCCTTCATTTTGGGTATGATAAAGTGTACAGAAAAACCTCGCTATACTGCCACCAAATGCCTCCAGGGAAATTTTGGCTTTATAAATTGGTTTGGCAAAAAACTGAGGTAAACATACAAAGAAATGTTCATGGAAAAAAGAAGAGGAAAAAATAACCTTGAAATACTTTGATGGTAAGGGAGATGGCAAATAAAATTAGTTGCATTATATCAAAGTTTTATCGTAGGGTAGTTAGTTTAAGAGTAGGTAAAACTTTAAATATTTAGATAGGAAAATGGTGATATTGAGAATAAAGTAAAGATTTTTTCTATTGTATGTATACAAAAGTCAGTAAGTAGTGGTTTACACTTCAATAACACTGCTTTGATATATGCCAGTACACTTTCCAGATCTTATGTTAGGGCCGTAGATCATATCATTTGAGATATTACAGATGTTCAGGGTTAAATGGTAAATCAGATTATAGAAGTTAGCAAACATTTCTATTAACATATATATGATCACAGATATTTTACAAAGTTAACTCTGTATATTGTTGAGCTTTATTACAATTAAAAACATAACAGTGAGTTGAGTGATTACAGATTTACATTAAAACAAGAATCCCCAGATAGCAGTTTGTGTTGAGAATCAGTCAAGCCTCTCAAATTTAATGTAATATTTTTTAAATAAAATACTCCTGACAGTTAATGTTAGATACACACTTACTTTTCTTTGTAATTCCTCTCTTTAATGTTTTTAGATGTTATGTCTTTAATTCATTCACATGAAGTTTGAATTAACATAATTGGTATAAAAAGATACAGTATGAATATTTCTGTGAAGCTGAACTCCTGGTTGGACCTTCAGCCCGTGCATTTAGAGTGTGATCAGCAAAGAATCAATTTCATACAATTCTTTCATCTAGTAGAATTTAGAATTTCAAAAAAGTGAAATTTTAAAACATTAATTACTTTACATAAGCATTTAAAATAATCATAACGTGACAGAGTACTGTATTTATCCTGCAATCAGCCCAGGGGCTCATGATCAACACTTAGTTCTTACTCTAAGTAAAGACTTGTGCTTATTACAGGGCGGTGAAACATTTGTTGCCATTTTTACTGAATCACACTTATTATCAGGAATGGGCTTATTCATGGATAAATATGGTAATAGTTATTAGTTTTCAGATGTATTCCAAAAATCAAATTTTGAACATTTGCATTAATGGATGTAAATTCACACTGCTTATGACAGCCATTTATCTTATAAACACAAATCTCACACATACAAGGATGTTACAGTCACTCAGTGCTTCAGCCTGAGGCATTCATGTTATAAACACAAATCTCACCCATACAAGGATGTTACAGTCACTCAGTGCTTCAGACTGAGGCATTCATGTTATAAACACAAATCTCACCCATACAAGGATGTTACAGTCACTCAGTGCTTCAGCCTGAGGCATTCATGTTATAAACACAAATCTCACCCATACAAGGATGTTACAGTCACTCAGTGCTTCAGACTGAGTCATTCATGTTATAAACACAAATCTCACACATACAAGGATGTAACAGCCACTCAGTGATTAAGACGGAGGCATTCATCTTATAAACACAAATCTCACACATACAAGGATGTAACAGCCACTCAGTGATTAGACTGAGGCATCCATGTTATAAATACAAATCACACACATACAAGGATGTTACAGTCACTCAGTGATTCAGACTGAGGCATTCATCTTATAAACACAAATCTCACACATACAAGGATGTAACAGTCACTCAGTGATTAGCCTGAGGCATTCATGTTATAAACACAAATCTCACCCATACAAGGATGTTACAGTCACTCAGTGATTAGACTGAGGCATTCATGTTATAAACACAAATCTCACACATACAAGGATGTAACAGCCACTCAGTGATTAAGACGGAGGCATTCATCTTATAAACACAAATCTCACACATACAAGGATGTTACACCCACTCAGTGATTAGACTGAGTCATCCATGTTATAAATACAAATCACACACATACAAGGATGTTACAGCCAATCAGTGATTAGACTGAGGCATCCATGCTATAAATACAAATCTCACACATACAAGGATGTTACAGTCACTCAGTGCTTCAGACTGAGACATCCATGTTATAAATACAAATCACACACATACAAGGATGTTACAGTCACTCAGTGCTTCAGACTGAGGCATCCATGTTATAAATACAAATCACACACATACAAGGATGTTACACTCACTCAGTGATTAGACTGAGGCGTCCATGTTATAAATACAAATCCCACACCCATACAAGGATGTTACAGTCACTTAGGGATTAGACTCAGGCATCCATGCTATAAATACAAATCACGCACACATACAAGGATGTTACAGACACTCAGAGCTTCAGACTGAGGCATCCATGTTATAAATACGAATCACACACACATACAAGGATTTTACAGTCACTCAGTGCTTCAGACTAAGGCATCCATGTTATAAATACAGATCACACACAAATACAAGGAATGTCAGACTGATTAGCATTTATCTTATAAACGCAAATCTCACACATACAAGGATTTTACAGTGACTCAGTGGTTGAGACTGAGACATCCATGTTATAAATACAAATCAAACACACATACAAGGATGTTACAGTTACTCAGTGATTAGACTGAGGCATTCATGTTATAAACACAAATCTCACACATACAAGGATTTTACAGTGACTCAGTGGTTGAGACTGAGACATCCATGTTATAAATACAAATCACGCACACATACAAGGATGTTACAGACACTCAGAGCTTCAGACTGAGGCATCCATGCTATAAATACAAATCAAACACACATACAAGGATGTTACGGTCACTCAGTGATTAGACTGAGGAATCCATGCTATAAATACAAATCACACACACATACAAGGAATGTCAGACTGATTAGCTATTCATCACTTAAAAACAATCCCCCCACATACAAGGAATGTAACACTCCTACAATGATTAAGACTAAGCCATTTTTTTTATCGTGTAAACACCAGTGGTACACACATACAAGATTTAATTTGGCAGGTGACTGTGTTTAGCAGGATGGAATTATATCATAGGTTTACAATTTTAATTCACAAAAAAGTTCACCTGATAAACCCTGGTGTACATTAGATAGAGTACTGACAGGTGTAGATGATCCTAGATACACTGTAAGAGACTAGGGTATAAACGGCATGTGTGGGGGCAGCAATAGGGGAGATATGGGGTGTAAGAAGGAAATGTGTGGGGGGATAAATGGGGAGATGGGGGATGGTGGTATAGAGAGGGTGGTATAAACAGGAATAGAGTGTATGTGGGGGTATGATCAGGAGAGGTGTGGGACTAAAAAGGGGGAGTAATGGATGTACAACCGGGGGAGTTGTGGAGGTTCAACCGGGGGAGGTGTGGGGGGTACAACCGGGGGAGGTGTGGGGGTACAAACGAGGAGAGGTATGGGGATATATGCAGTATAGGGGTATAACAGGAAGGTGTGGGGCTAAAAAGGGGGAGGAGTGGATGTACAACCAGGGGAGGTGTGGGGGTACAACCGGGGGAGGTGTGGGGGTACAAACGAGGAGAGGTATGGGGATATATGCAGTATAGGGGTATAACAGGAAGGTGTGGGGCTAAAAAGGGGGAGGAATGGATATACAACCAGGGGAGGTGTGGGGGTACAACCGGGGGAGGTGTTTGGGTACAAATGAGGAGAGGTATGGGGATATATGCAGTATAGGGGTATAACAGGAAGGTGTGGGGCTAAAAAGGGGATTATGTGTATGTCTAAACAGAGACGGTTAGGGGTATAAATTGGGGAGACATAGAAATATAAAAAGTGATACTGGGTTCAGAAATGGGAGGTTATAAACTATAACAGGGGAGATGATGAGGAATAGTGAAGATATTTAGTGGAGTAATACAGGCCAGGGAAATGTCAGTTGAAAGGAAACAATGACATTGTTTGACATGTTTATACAATGCCAAATTGAACTGGAAAAAATTATGATAACATGCAGTCATTCATGAGATAACCTCAATATAAAGAAGATGTAAAGTTTATCTTGTAGTGTTGATAAGATGTAGTAGGTTGTGATGTGTGTTGTCTGTTTTCTGCAGTTTTACACGAGAATCAGCTGACCCACACAGATCTGAAACCAGAGAACATTCTGTTTGTTAATTCAGATGCAGACGTCACCTTCAACCCACGCAAGGTAAGCATATTTACTGACAAAGTTTGGGAATGAAAATGACCTTGACCAGCTTTCAAGGTCACAGGGGTCATATATGTCCAACTCTTTAAACAACTTTTTCTGAAGAACCAAAAGGTTTAGAATCTTTTTATTTAATTGGTGGCTTCCTGGGATAGAGCCCAACAAAGTTTGATAATGAAAATGACCTTGACCCGCTTTCAAGGTCATGGGTCAAATATGTCAAACACTTCAAACAACTTATTCTGAAAAATTGAAAGGTATAGAACCAAAAATCTTTATATTTGGCTGGTGGCTTCCTGGGATAGAGCCAGACAAAGTTTGAGAATGAAAATGACCTTGACCCGCTTTCAAGGTCACAGGGGTCAAATATGTCAAACTCTTTAAACAACTTCTTCTGAAGAACCAAATGGTATAAAATCTTTATATTTGACTGGTGGCTTCATGGGATAGAGCCCAACAAAGTTGTAGATTGAAAATGACCTTGACCGGCTTACAAGGTCACAGGAGTCAAATTTGTCAAACTCTTCAAACGACTTCTGAAGAACCAAATGGTATAGAATCTTTATATTTGGCTGGTGGCTTCCTGGGATAAAGTCCAACAAAGTTTGAAAATGACAAACTCTTTAAACAACTTCTTCTAAATATTCGCCTTGTTGCTTCCTGAGATAGAGCCCGACAAAGTTTGAGAATAAAAATGACTTTGACCTTCTTCAAGGTCACAGGTGTCAAATATGTCAAAAACATCAAGCAACTTCTTCTAAAAAATTGAAAGGGATAAGCTCACCAAAGTTTGCAAATTAAAATTACCTCAACCTACTTTAAATGTCACAGAGGTAAACAACATTTCAAAGGATTTGTTCTGAAAAACCAAAAGGAATGGATTCATAAGATTTGGCTGGTAGCTTCTAGGGATAGAGCTATAAAAGTTTGAGAAGGAAAATTTATTGATATACTTACAAGGTCACAGTGAAAAATATGTCAAATAACTTTTGAATAAGAACGAGTGCCAAAAAGCATAAAATATTATAATAATATTTGACTTGTAGTTTCAACATGTAATATTTAATGAGAATATTTGCTATGACTTCTTAAATATTCAGGTGAGCGATATAGGCCCTCTGGGCCTCTTGTTTTATCTACTTTCAATTTTATGCTGATTTGCCTAATTAGTTGTCATTTGATGGAACCTCAACAAGTTGCTAATCCGTCTAGATTCATAAGTATCTTATGTGTAGAATGTGGACATATATATAGAACCTGTGTTTAAAGGAAAGATTACCTCATTTATTGTAATCAACACCGTTTTTCAGAAAAGAGATGAGTTTGTGGTGAAGAGCACAGACATTCGTCTGATTGACTTCGGATCTGCCACGTTTGACCATGAACACCATAGCACTATTGTATCAACGCGTCACTATCGGGCACCGGAGGTCATCTTAGGTATGTACATATACTTGATTGTAACTACACCATGTTTGAATTGAGATCAGAAAAATACAGCAATACGGGGAATTTTCACATATAAAAATTGAAAAGTGTATGGGTCTTTTTCAAATATGTTGATACAGATCAAGCCCTGTGAAGTATTCATAAAAATTAATGCAATTTTTTTTTGTCTAAAAATATTTGACAAAGTTATAATTAGTTTCTGACTTTCTGTTGTCGTTGATATAAAATATGTGATATTGACATGTTGTGGTTTCAGAGTTGTGCTTTTCATCAAAATTGATGACAGAAAGAAAAAAATGTGTCTAAAAATATTTGATAAAGATTGTTTCTGTTGTCATTGATATAAGATCAATAATGGTGGCTTGTTGTGGTTTCAGAGTTGGGCTGGTCACAACCCTGTGATGTGTGGAGTGTGGGCTGTATTATCTTTGAGCTATACACTGGCTACACGCTCTTCCAGGTAAATAGAAATTGGAAGATAACTCTAAACAAAGTCATTCAATAGTCAATCAAAATGAACTTACAAATTCTAAATTGACTGGCACTAGTTCCCCAAACGTTCCTTGTATTAAGTTGAATTTCCTTTGCTTTGCCAAAGTGAAAATTTAAGTTAAAAAATAAGGATATTGTATGAAGCTAGAACCAAATAACTCTTCACTGAACTAGAGATTTACTTAATGCACATTGTCTGAAATTGATTTTGATTATAAATGGGATCTTAAATGAAGAAATATTCTTCAGTGTTTTTATGTTTATTTTTCTATATATTTGAGGCCAAGCCATAGTGTCATTCCTAATAAGATCCAGACATTTTACTCCCCAGTTGGATAAGGGAAAACCCCAAAAGATCAGATAACTTCTGAAACATACAGATATGTCACAGTGATTAAACAAGGATTAGTGAAAGTGATAATGTTATCACTGAAAGATACAGATAAAGCTGAAGTGCTGATGGAGAAATTTTATAGGTCCTCCCTGCTGTTCAGTCATTTAATTTACACAATAAAAATATGAAATTGAAAGTAAATAAAGGGAGATAATTATGTTAAAGGTTAGTGGCCAGAAATGTGATTTTCTTTTGTTGACTGTATTTTACTTTGCTACAGACACATGATAATAAAGAGCATCTAGCAATGATGGAGCGGATATTGGGATCTCTGCCCTACCGAATGGTGAAAAAGACAAAGTACGTATCATCTCTCTGCCTTGTGCCTGCACATATGGACATCTATACAAGCCTTTTCATACATTAGCCACTCAGGGGATCTTAAATTTCTGTTAGGACCCTAAAAAATGTATAAATCTTATCGTACAACAGAGTAAAAAGATTCAAGAACTTCTCATATCATTTATATCAAAGTGACTTTTTGCTGATTTTCATTATCAGAAATGGTATAAAAAAAATATCACTGGTTATTTCTGCTTCTAAGTTATCATTTGGTCAACATTTGGTCAAAGCTTATGTAATTCCAGTACACTGTTCAGATAGAAATAATTAAAAAAAAAACACCAGTTGAAATATTTAAAAAAAAGACTTTTGATACCTCATTTTTCTTTGACTGTTTGATAGAATAAATAACTTGATTGATTTTTTGGAGGGGAAAATGTCAAATAAAAAAATCATCCAAATTGAAGCGCTTGACAAAATTTTAGGATAGTCTTGTATAATAATAAACAGACATGGTGTTACCAGTTATACTGATGGTATTTTCAATTGTGAATACAGTTTATATAATATATTGAAATTGTTAGTGATTACTATTAAATTCTATAGGTATTTTCTAAAATGATATTTCACACACTTGACTAGTAGGTAGTTATAGATATATCAGGTTGTTTGGGAATGTTGACCATAGTGTTTTGTTTTTGGTCTCGCTTTTTTCCAAGCTAGACATAGGAATTTTGGCTGACAATCATATCATTTCACACAGTGTCATAGTTACTGATGGCACAGAGTATCTGAAACAAAAGCCCTTGATTGGACCGAGATGTAGCTTTTGGATAAAATTTCCTCATAAACTAAAAGAAAATTCAAAGATTCACCGTGGTTGATTGATTTCATTACTAAAATTGTAAATCTTTTCAACTTGTCATTCTAGTGTGAACAAGCTCTGTTAGTGTTTGATAGCTATGATAATTTTGAAGCTTTTTACTGGTACCAATAAATTCTGGACTTGTTTGAGACAGTTGAGCGTGTGCAGTCAAGGGCTAATGAAGGTTTACTATCCCACAATCTTCTATTTTGTAAAGTTGACCCCGCAATAGGTTATTTTATGATTGGTAGGATATGCCCAGTGGCGGATCCAGATACCTATCGGGGGGGGGTTCCATGTCGGGGAAAAATTGAGGAAAATGGTGAAAATACATGATTTTTAAAGAAAATTATCAGGGTGGGGGGGTTTCCTGAAGCCCAAAAAAACCCTCTGGATCCGCCACTGATGCCTCTCTGTGAGATCTCACACTGGCTGAAGCTAGAGTTCTTACACACAGCCTCTGGAGCATTTTTGAGAGCCCAGACAAATTTATTTCAAGATGAGGGGTTAAATACTTATAACTTTATATGCATATATCCTGGGTAATATAATTTTATGTAAACAGAGGAGTTTAAGGTTCAACTGTTCAGACGGTTATTGTCAAATTATATGACTTGCAGAATTATTAAACTTTTACCCCAATATCTAGTTTAGGTATAAGTAAGTATTGATGGCTGGAGTTTGAGAAGTCAGGTTTTCATGTCTAAATGAGTTTTCATACTAAGCATTCAATTTCATTGTAAAAGTGACACACAAGAAATGCAGTGTAAAAATAGCCTGTATTTCGTGGAAACATTGAATCACATGCCTTTATACATTCTGAGACATTGGTCGATTAGAAAGAATTGTGGCTTATTTAAAACTCAAAACTGATACTATGAAATTCATCACAAATCCATTAAGGATTCTATTGTGTAAGTTTCCATAATAAACAATGAAATGAGATGGTTTGTATGTGCCCTAATTAACTCTTTCACCCCTATGTAACTTTAGTAGACTCTACCATGCATTGATCTGGATGAGTCCATTATGGTCTACAGTGGTGAAAGGGCTAAATATGTATCTCTCTTTGCTCTTCATTTAGTAAACCACTAGTTTATCAGTACCTTTCAAAATCAAATCTTATGTCAATTTCTGGAAGCCATTCATAAAGTATTTATAGATTGATTGAAATTTAAGCAATGGTCATCAAGCTTCACATTCCCAATGCCAAGACAATAAAGGTTATTTTAGGTGTTATCTTAAGTTGCTGTTAAATTGTCATTTAACTGTCTAAACATACATAAGTGTGGAACCGTTTTCTTTTCCAATGTGTTGGTTGACGTTGGCATTTAATATTTGATTAAATAATTGAAATCCCAACAGCTGTTTGGCAAAAAGAGCACAAATTAAACTCACTTTATATGAAGACAGTGACAAATTGGCAAAAAGATACATTCACAGTAAATTAGATTATATTTCTGTGCGGTTTCGACAGAGAAGGTTACTGTAACAATGGTTTATGTAATGTTGTCATGTGTGAGCTCATGGTTATCTACGACTGTATACATGTAGATGTATGGGACAATGCACATGTCGATTGACCTACTCGTATGTGGCTTGATCTTTGCTCTTTAACCTTTCAACCCACAGACATTTATTTTACTTCCTTTGTACTCTCTGGTTTTCTCGGACTTAAGGGATTAGTGACATTTTCTTCAAAAAATATTTTGTTTGTTTAAGTGTCAGCAGTTTGTCTTTTTTTTGTTTTTGTATAAATTTGTAGCAATTTTTAAATTTTTAAATTGAGAACTTTTGTCAATATTATGATCATGTTAAATTCTTTTGGCTAAATTCTCAGTATATTTTTGGATTATGTTGATTTATTTTGAGCAATATTACTCGCAATGTTTAAGGTTAGTGAAGTGAACAGAATTCTGAAGTTAAGATAAGATTGGAAAGATATCTTTCTTGCAATAATTGCTGATGTATCTTACAAAAATTGCTGATGCTTGAACTTGGAAAAACAAAATGAGTTTATATTCCTTTTTTGATAATGGTATGACATAATTAGGCATTGATCTATTCCACATGCAGTAAATACATATAGAAATGTATTTATTTATTTATCAAATAAATATTTTAGGTTAGGGATTTTCTATTCCTTTATCAGCCTAATCAAAAGATTTTAGAAGGCAGTGGACTATAAACAATTTTGAGATTATATTCAGCTAAAAACAGATTTGAAAATCAAGAGTGATACAGACTTAAATGTTTAGTTGTGTTATTACGTAGTAAGTGTAACTTCTTCTGCTTATAAAGTAGGAATTTAAATTGAAGGAAAGAAGGAAAGGCTCTGGTGCGGCTGGTGTTTATAAAAATTCTCTCCCAAACAGACAAAATTATTGATAATAATATGAATACTGGTATACAGTCATATCTTTCGAATTTTTTGTGATTTCTTTGTGAATACCGAGACGATTGTTATGGTGATTTTATTTTTAAAGTTAAAACTATAGAGGTACAAGTTGCTTTGAATCCAACCTGGAGATGACTATTAACAACTTCTAATAGGGCCTTACAGAATGTATTTTGTTGACATCCCACTCGACACACCTAGTCATGTCTCATCTCTCTCTCCTCCCCTTCAAAGAACAAATAATTTCTGGCACGGCCGCCTAGAGTGGGACCATGCGTCGTCTGCCGGGCGCTATGTGAGAGAGAACTGTCGGCCTCTGTATGTAAGTATCGACCGACACCTGCCGCCCGTCAGCCTGCGGTCAACTCACCAGCCACTCCTCAGCCTGCCAGTGTCTGTTTATGCCTGTGCATTGTGTACTTCTATTTTCTACAGTCTTGTTTCTTTTGTTAGATAGAGAATGTTTTTAATTTCAATTTTTTTTCAAAGATCCACTTTTGTTTCTTGAACCAGCATCACAGTAAAGTAAAATTTTGCAACATTACTTCTTGCTGATGATATTTCAAATTTAGAAAAATATAAAAACTAACAGTGCTGAACTTTTGACTTCATTTTATTGTTGTTTTGAGATAATAGAAAGAAAAGTAACTTGGCTATATCAAACCTTGTTGTTTGAATCACAATAAAATCAAAATGGGATCTTTGAATGCTTAACTTTGCTTTTGATAGGCATGATTATTAAAACCATGATGCTCTGTTGACAAGTTCCAGAATGATAGCATGTGTCTGATGTTAAAAATAAATGATAACAATGTTTGAATTTTAAAACTTTAAGGTATTTCAAAATTACTGAAGTTAGTTAAATCACTTTATTCTAATTTAACACCTGATTATGGAAATTGTCAACAGTGAGGCTTGCATGTTTGTACGGCCGAGCATCTTGTTAGTGTAACGGTACCTATGGAACAAGTGTTACAAGTAACATCAAATTATCCAATAAACTCTCCTCCCTTACATTTTATAATCACACAGATTAATAAAGAAAATTAGAACGAGATTGGTCATTAACAGAAATTGACAAAAATGATGAAAAATTTAACTAATAAAGGGAAGTAAGAGTGAAGGACTGCAGCCGACCAAGGGGAGATAATTTGATGATATTGAATAACCTTGGATTGTGTGTACCAGAGCATGTGAGCTTGTATTGTCTCTCACCAAGCTCTATTTTTGTTACCCCTCTTAAGGAAAACCAAGTATTTCTACAAGGGGCGTTTAGACTGGGATTCGAAAAGTTCATCAGGGCGATACGTGAGGGAAAGCTGCAGGGCGTTGGAGGTAAGAACACCCACCAATTCCAAAGCAAATTTCCAAAGCCTTGTCACCAAGATTTCATCATCTGTTGTGCAGAAATTGCACATTTGGGATGGAATACTTCGGTGATGACTGTCCGTAATGTATCAAAAAAGGTCTGCTCAGATTAGAATCAATCTGAATTAAGAAATATTTGCAGTAGTGATAGAAAAGTTTGTTTTCTTACCTGTTGAATGTTTAATTAACACGGTAAGTAGAAAATCTAGACAGTTGGAATATAAACAACCAGTACCAGATATAGCTAGCCTGGAGAGACAATAGTCAATATGGAATATATACAACCAGTACCAGATATAGCTAGCCTGGAGAGACAATAGTCAATATGGAATATATACAACCAGTACCAGATATAGCTAGCCTGGAGAGACAATAGTCAATATGGAATATATACAACCAGTACCAGATATAGCTAGCCTGGAGAGACAATAGTCAATATGGAATATATACAACCAGTACCAGATATAGCTAGCCTGGAGAGACAATAGTCAATATGGAATATATACAACCAGTACCAGATATAGCTAGCCTGGAGAGACAATAGTCAATATGGAATATATACAACCAGTACCAGATATAGCTAGCCTGGAGAGACAATAGTCAATATGGAATATATACAACCAGTACCAGATATAGCTAGCCTGGAGAGACAATAGTCAATACTACCAATATCAATTATACTAGTATCACACTTCCCCATCATTTAACTTTATATTTACGAGTGTAAAAGCAAACCTATTTCTAAAATTATATATAAAAAGCTTTCTAGAATTGTAAGGATGGATTCGTGATCTATTTACTGTAAATTTGATTACATTTGTGATATCCTGAAAGATTTTTAATTGGACAGTGTATATAAAAAATAACATGGAATGAAACTTTTTTTAAATCTAAAATCTGTTTCTACTTAAAAGAATAAGACATCTCTTTGTGATTAATAGATTCACATTTATAATTTATAGATTAAGACTCAATGTCTGTTATTTATATATATAATAGATTCAGACTTGAGTATCAGTAATTTATAAATTCAGACTTGATCTCTGTTATTTATAGATTCAGGCTTGATGTAAATTATTTATAGATTCAAACTTTGTCAGTTATTTATAGATTCATACTTCATGTAGATTATTTATAGATTCAGGCTTTATGTCCGTTATTTATAGATTCAATATATCAGTTATTTATAGATTCAGACTTGATATCAGTTATTTATAGATTCAAACTTTGTCAGTTATTTATATATATAATAGATTCAGATTTGAGTATCAGTAATTTATAGATTCAGACTTGATCTCAGTTATTTATAGATTCAGACTTGATGTCAGTAATTTATAAATCCAAACTTGATATCAGTTATTTATAGATTCAGACTTTATGTCACTTATTTATAGATTCAGACTTGATATCAGTTATTTATAGATTCAGACTTGATGTCAGTAATTTATAAATCCAGACTTGATATCAGTTATTTATAGATTCAGACTTTATTTCACTTATTTATAGATTCAGACTTGATATCAGTTATTTATAGATTCAGACTTGATGTCAGTAATTTATAAATCCAGACTTGATATCAATTATTTATAGATTCAGGCTTGATGTAAATTATTTATAGATTCAGACTTTGTCAGTTATTTATAGATTCAGACTTGATGTCAGATATTTAAAGATTCAGACTTGATGTAAATTATTTATAGATTCAGGCTTGATATAAGTTATTTATAGATTCAGACTTAATGTAAATTATTTATAGATTTAGAATCAATGTCGGTTATTTATAGATTCAGGCTTGATGTTAGTTATTTATAGATTCAGATTTGATATGTAGATTTTCTAACAGATTTAGACCCTGACATTTAGAACAGGTATAGTATTGATCCTTATACTATCAGCAAGACAGAATTTCATAAAGGAGAATGCTAAGTTTGTTTTAAACACAAACAGTAATTGAAAACTAACAATTTTCAAGTTTTCATTTACTGCTCATGTTCAAAACAAACTTAGCATTTAATATTACATGATGTTAAGTATCCATGCTTATGCTTTTCAGTCTAGCTCTTCATTGTCTACATGATAAAACATATCAGTGTTTTTGATTTACAATCTGTATATCGTTAGTTTAATGTTTGATGTGGAGTATATATTTTTATGATTTTAGGTTTTATTATTGGCTCATTGTGGTGTATGCATGTCTTTGTATATAAATATATACACACATACATTACATGCCTATGTGATTATGCAAAAGTAACGATATATAGATAATTTCACTTGTAGCACTATCTGTCATTTATGTAATGTATTGTAGGAAAGTTTTATATATTCATCATATTTGAAAGCATTCTTTGTTTTATAGTTAGAGTTCTGAATACTTTATACAGACTCTTGATGATTATTGCCAATCAAGACAGTTTCGATGCATAGAAAAAACATGTATTGACACTATTTACAGGAAGGTCTGGTTAACCAGGAGTATAATTCTGGCTGAAATATTCCCATGAAAGATTTGTGCTCATTCGCCACTGTTTCAGATTTATTAGTTGTGAAGTTTAACCCTTTCACCCCTATGTAACTTTAGTAGACTCTACCATGCATTGATCTGGATGAGTCCATTATGGTCTACAGTGTTGAAAATGTAACTTCAGTAGACTCTTCCATGCATTGAAATGGGTGAGTCCATTATGGTTTACAGTGGTGAAAGGGTTAAAAGTTCTGTTGTTATGAACTATTTTTACACTTTGAAAAACTTTATAGACAAAGAATAGAAAATTCTCTTTGTTCTGAATGAAAAATTCAAGGGAAATTTAAAGAAATTAATTAGCTTTCAATAGATGAATTTGGCAATTAAAAATTGTGGCACCCTTGTGGGTGATATCAGTGATGCTGTTTACTCCAGTCTACCTGCTGTTCATGTGGTGCCGTTTACCTGGACTGGTCCGAGGTAATCTGGAAGTAACTTTGTTTTGATCTGCAAAAGTCATTTGATCAAACTTCTCCAAATAAATGATGTACAAATGCTTATGAATAGGCCTCTGTAAAGGTAAAAAAACATTTGTTGTCCTCCAAAAAGTCCATCAAGTCCTTACTCATTTGTCATATTTCAGCATATTAAAGCTAATCCGGTAATGAAACATGCTTTTATTCACAAATCACAACAGTTCAGCACGATTGTGTTTTTAAAAGCCTCATGAGAGTCGGTGCCTACCAAACATTCTCTTTAAGGATTGTAAAGGTGAATCTTTTTAAATTCAGTGCAACGGGGGGAATTAGAAGAGCATCAAATTTGTTAGGTGAGATTGTCTTTACAGAAACGCCTCGGAAGGCATTCACAAATAGGAATAAACTGTTTTAAGATTCATTTAGATTTTCAATTCAGGAAATCCTCCTGTACAATTCCGTTTCACATTAAAAACAAACTTTTCCACATACTAACAGTTCAAACTCTTGCCCTTGGGTTATCCCCCTTTGAATGTTGTATGCCTATCCAGTTGATTGTTTCTTTGAGTGACGAATGGTTTGAAATTTTATTTTGTGAAAGCTAGGTCTTGTTTTGGTTGAGATTTTGGCACCGCTTTTATAAAATTTGGATCTTTTGAAATATAGTGGTTTTGATCCACAAGGTTTATATCGCTTGTAATATAAACTTGTTTTGGAAAGAAAGCTATATTTTGCAAAAGAGGCTTACAGGAAACTGCTCTTAGTAGCAGTTTCTAGATTGTTTGTTAAAACACTACCCAGAAGATTGTAGCTGCAGTGGACACGATGACAGGACATGGAGTGTGATATTGTCTGTGTGCGGGTGTTTCTCCTCGTTTCTCCTCCTCGGCGATTTGCTATGCTGGCATGCCTACTAATTCTGCATTGGACCGGAATGATATATGTGCATCGTTGAAGGTTATTTTCTTGATAATTAGATGGAGAAAAGCATGGTTTTGATCATCTCGAAGTAACACTAATGATATGCGTAGATGAAGTGGCCACTCCAATGGTTAGTATCTTTCTTAGACTGGGAAGAATGATAAATGCAAGTCACTAGTAACAGGTAACACTGCTAACCCTGCTAATGTCTGTCATTAGTGAGAGTTATGGTGCTACCCTGGCTAATGTGTGTCATTAGTGAGAGTTATGATGCTACCCTGGCTAATGTCTGTCAATTTATATAGCCCTCAAGTCAGATGGGGTTCTTTTTACAAGTTCAAGGTCATTCATGAGTTAAACATTTTTATTTTAGTGTAAAATGGGCAACATAGACAATATTTGAATAAAACTATATTTGAACAAGGGAATTCTGATATTATATCGAGTCAGAATTTCAACGGTTACTCAAGTTTATATTAAAACTACCAAAGAAAACCTAGGTATTCTGAAACTGCTGAATCATACCTATTTCTTGGATTGCAAAGGATGTTGGATAAAACAGTTCAATATGCATTTTTTTTTAAAAATTTATATGACCTTGAACTTGAGAGCTAAAGATACCATTATGATCTTGCACAGTATAATTATGGCAATCGGGAATTTTCTTGGAAATGAACGAAAGGAAATTGATAAGAATTACTATAAGAAGTACAGAAGTTCTGTGATTCTATTGTAAGGAATTTGGGGAATTTTTATGCTACACTATGAACTAAAAGGAATTAGTTTATAAGCTTTAAGCAATATTTTGTTATATGAGGGTTTTATATTTACCTATGAATATCTACTTACATGTTACAAAACAGGGAAATCTTTGCATAAAATTATTGAAAATAGCTTAAAATTATCTTTTATAAAAGCTTGTGTGAAATATTTAATAATTTGTGTTAATTTCAAAAGACGTAAAAAGTAATAAGTTCTGAGGCTACTTCTTATAGTATATTGTCATCTGGTTATTTTTCAGCATTATTTACGAGACAAGGGGCCGGAACATCGGCAATTGATTGAACTGACTGAGATGATGCTCGAGTACATCCCAGAGGAACGCATAACATTACGAGAAGCCATGAACCATCCCTTCTTTGCTCCATGCCGGAAATATTATGCAAACCGTTATCCTCTGGACGCACTGGCAGAGAAGGAAAAATCCTCTCCTCTACCAGATGGAAAGATGGCAGAGCTCACAGTCCCAGCGAATGGATCAGAGAGGGAATCTTCTGAGCGCAGGTCAAGATCTGCCGCCAAATCTCGGGAAGATTCTGGAGAAATGAACCACGGTGATGAGGCAGCACAGAACCATCAAAGTACAAGTTCTAGTCAAGAGACGGCACAGAATACAGCAAAAGTTGAACAAACAGTAGAAGAAAATGTTCCCAAGGTTATAGAAAAAGTTCCTGAGGTGACTGAAAAAGGTCCTGAGGTGATTGAAAAAGTTCCCAAGAAAGAGAAAACTCCAATTAAGGTACAGCCAGAAAAAACAAGTGGATATATAACTTATAAGGAAAGGAAAAGAAAGGCTGCAGAAGCACAAGCAAAAATGTCTCCTCCCAAGGATCCCAACAAGCCACGATCCTGGCGTCTCAAACTTGAGATGGAAATGGCAAACGAGAAAGAGAAATCCAAGAACGAAGATAATGTCTCCAATCCACCTGAGGAGGCAAGTTCAAAGATAGATGTTGCCATGGCACCTGAGCCAGAAGTGCTCAGCATCAAAGCATGGAGACAGAAGAAGGAGTTGGAGGTTGCTGAACCAGAGCATTTAGAACTAGAACTACCTAAGAAGGAAAAAGAGGTGGTACCTGCTACCGAGCAACCAAAGTCATATGATGCCTTCAGTCGTAGGAGGTCATGGCGACAGAGAATGGAGGAGGAGAACATGGAGGAAGAACAGCCAACTCAGGTAGAGGAGAAAGTTTCAGAACCCCAGCAACCTTCACCTGAAAGGTTACAGGTCAAACCCACATCTCCGTCACAGATGGACAAAGGGTCAGCTATCAGAACCTGGCGTCAGATGTTCGGATCTGAAGACAGGAACTCGCACAAGGATGAACCCAGTACACATCACAAGTTAGAAAAACCTGTTAGCTTTGATAGTTTCGATGAATCGACTAGCAGAAAGACATCCATTTCGGAGCGAGGTGAATCACCTGGATTCGACCCAGAAGAGACAGTGGCTGAACGTCTACAACGTCGACGGAGAGAGCGGGGAGGAGGGGATCGCAGGAAGTCTGGACATGTTCCGTGGGAGGAAGAACCAGAGGCAGAGCCAGCCACTAAAAAGGAAGAGAAACAACTGTCAGCATACCAACTGCTCAAACTAGCTCTGGCTAAGCCTATATCTACAGATAGGTCTAAGTCCGAACTCAATCACCAGCAGAAAGCAGAACCGGAGGGACCCGTCAAAGGGCCAATACATGATCTCAAAGCGGAGGTGGCTGAAAGGTCAAGGTCAGAGCCAGAGAAGATTCCAGTTGAAAAGAAGGAGAAGCAGTTAGAAAATGATCCACTTAAGTTGTTACTAAGCCAGACCTTCACACCTGCCACCTTCATGCATTCGAAACAGCACCAGCCAATCAGCCCAATTGTAGAGGTTCCATCCTCTGCTGAGGCCCCCGACACTGCCTGCAGCCAATCAGGAGCCAGTGCTTTTCCATTCGAAAACAATCCAAACAACATTCAAAGAGAAAGTGAGACAAATGCTGTATGTGAAACTGAAAAGAATTGTTCAGTGGGAGGAGTTGCTAATGTAGAACAGGGTTCCAGCCAGACAGAGTCGGACAAAGAATTACAGCAAGGTTTTTTATCCCAAGGTGCTGACTGTGAGCAGGAGGCAGTCAGAGACACCGTCGAAACCATTGTAGAGATGAATCCTGCAGGACCTGTGATATCAGTGGTCATCCCCGAGCCAGTCATTGTAGTGACCAATCCCAGTCCAGTAATCGCAGTTACCGACCCAACAACCGACACAGTGACCGTAGTACTAGAGCAGTCAGCTGCAATGGTGTACGATCCCACTGACGTAAGTAATATGGTTACCTTGCCGACACAAACCATGGTACTGGAGCCATCCCCCATACAGAAACCGCCCATTGTGGCCTACACTGCTGTTCTCTCAGATGCCCCCTTGGACAGCGACACTCAGGCTAAAGTTGAGGAGGCCCAGGTCAAAGCACAGAAGAAAACTGCCAAACGTGCACACAGGAAACGGAGCAAGAAGCAAGCAACCTCACAAGATCAGTGTTTTTTATCTGAAGTGGGCCTCGACCCTGATCCCGATCCAAATGCTGCAGAAGATGAGCTGGTGCTACATCAACCGCCTCGGGTTCATGCTTCTCCTTTGCCTTCTGGGATTGCTGTTAGTAATATATTCATAGGGAAGGGCGCGACCAGTCCTGTGATCAGTGACCTCGACTCACCCTCCTTTCCAGATCCCAAAACCATTCAGAATATTCATAGGACTAATTCAGGGGGAGGTAACTCGAGTGCTAACGATTGTTTGTCAGCCATATTGCCTTCTGGTTGTGATAACACAGTTGAACGCGATCCGGTCTTTGCAGCGCAAGCACCGGATAGAGGCAGCCAATCAAATCCATCCAATGGAACAGAGACTCTATGACAATGACCACATATAGAAGGTTGATATTTTACATTACTTGGGTATGGCGTGTGTATTGATAGCATGGTTTTAGATGGCACAAGTCCAATAGGTAGAGCATGGATTGGCAAGATCATAGAGAGATTTAGTAGTGGTATGTATGGTAAAGCATGACGTGGCACTGGAACAGAGCGTTATTAACATAGAGCATGGTGAGGCAAGAGAACTAAAAACGTTTTCTGTCCTAGGTAAATTAATCTTTGTAAATCAATGAATCGAAAGATGTTTTATTTGAAAGTATGAGGCAAAGCTGAAATTGCACACAAAATATTTCTCTCAAAGAGCAAAGATTTGAGGAAAATATGGAACAGAAGATATTTCTATCACATGTGAGGCAAAGGACATAGAAATATGGAACTTAAAATCTTTTCTCTCACAGGTAAATTTGTGAAGCTAAAAACTAAAAAAATAGTGAACAAAGAAAATATTTCTCTCATTAGTGAGGCAAAGAACATAGAAATATGAAAAACATTTTTTTTGTCATAGGTTAATTTGTGAGGCATAAGTAAATGTTCAAGGAAAAGAACATCAAATTAATATAAAGGTAAAGCATGGTCAGGCATAGGAATCGAGAACAGATTAGTCAGATAGATAAAGCTAAGCATGACTTATATATTGCTTATTTACAGTGTGCATGATGAGGCAAAAGAACCAAGAAATTACTCACATAGGTAGAGCATGCTGTGACAAAGGAACCAAGGAAAGCTATTATGATATATAGTCATTGTGAGCTAATTGGAACAAATATAACCTATATTGAGAAAAACAGACATGATTTGAATGCAGTGATCTAATATGGTGTGGCGAAGGAATTTAATAAGTTGATTTGAATACATATAAGTTAAAAAAAATAAAACGTACAAACAAAAAACTAAGTCGTAATCATGAGAGAAAGCATAAACAAATGCATGTTAGAGCATGATTACATAATGAAAAGATACTTACTCGTTAGTGGTATTGAGGTGTGATTGAGAAGGACAAAGTCGTTAGTGGTATGGAGGTGTGATTGAGAAGGACAAAGTCGTTAGTGGTATGGAGGTGTGATTGAGAAGGACAAAGTCGTTAGTGGTATGGAGGTGTGATTGAGAAGGACAAAGTCAGGTTGAGAGTTTTCGTTGCTGTATATGCTCAATATAATTTATAAAGATTAAAAGAAACTTGTATTTCTATAAGTGTCTGTCTACAGGATAATGTATGGATAGAGAAGCTGTGTGAATGTGTCTTTAGTTTGTCTGCAATGGCTTGGACAACTACTTCCCGTTAGACAGAATGTCTTGTTATATTTAGATCGTCTGCAATGGCTTGAATGACTGTTTCTGTTTTGTCTTAACTGGCTTAAGAAGTTATATATGAGACAGTCTTGCATGGACTGCTTTGCTCGTAGTATGGCGTGTGACTCTTGAGGATGGCAATAGAGACACGAGTTCCTGGATTTTGGAACAGAAAGCATGTATTATGTACAAGTAGTATGTATAACCACAGATCTAACTGCAACTAACTTAGCTTAGATTTAACTGAGATTTCCAATTGGCATTGTGGAATTAATTCTGACAGTGACTGGTAAAATGCAAACATATTAATTTAATTGGATTACCAGCAAGAGTCTTGCATAAAGCGTTACATCACGGCTCATGATATTCTGTGAAAACCTACTGATTTAGAAACTTAAACAGCATCTTTTGAAACAGATGTCATCGGTCTGGAACTTGACTTGGCCAGCAGCCCCTGGGTCCTTGGTTATAAGGCTTTCTTCACATAGCAGATACAATGATAGGAGCACCATTTAAATATTGCTATCTTTAAGAAAATTTATGATATTCACTAATGAAGAAATTATTAAACAGAAAAGGAAACTAATCAAATATCCAATGAGCAAGTGTCAAAACAGAAAAAGAAGATATTAAAGAATTTAATATACTCCATTCATTATACCATATTCTAATCCAGTGGATAATGTAACAATTTCCATTGGTTAGTAGTTATGTATGAGTGGGCTATAACTACCATTGGTTATGGTTATGTATTACTGGGCTATTGACTTGTTTGAGCATTAATTGTATTGCAAATGTAAATAAACAAATTAGGGTTGTGCCACAGGTTTTGGATGAGTTTGTTAAATGAGGGTACACACATGCATGTGTATACATATCGTTTCCACATATTGTATACCAGGAAATTTTTACAGCAGTTTAATGCTCGCCATTTTCGCCATCTGTAATGAGGGCAAATTTATCATTACAGCCAATATAAGTAAACAATATAATAAACTTAGTAATTTGATGTGAAGGGCAAAATAAACACTAGACGCACAAATTCTGTTCATGGGCGAAGGACGAAAGTTTGACTAGGAGTGATTTCCTGGTATACAGTTTATCTGTGTTAAACTGGCAGAATAGGAACACTGGCTGCAGGATCCAGAAATGATCAAGTTATGATTGGCTTATTGGTGAAATAAACATTAGATGTCGGTCAACAAATGTTTGTATATACACGAAAGAACTGCCTAATTTAAATAATTGGTTTCCTTATCTCCTGTTTACTTACATAAACTGAGGTAAACATAAAGTGTATTACTTGACATTTTGACATGGTATAATAGATATCATCAGCATGTTTGTATGTTATGGTTTAGTGAGTAGATATATAACAGAAGATTAAAAAAAAAGTTGGAACTACAAAATAATTGGATGAAAGTGTCCTTCATTTTTATTTTCCAGGAGATTTTATCCCTATCATCATGTAATCTATTTCTTAAAGAAAGTAAATTAAATAAACTAAAATGGCCTTTCTAAAAAATGATGTAAGATTTTGCTTTATCTGCAATTGTTTTTCTGAACTATATGATCTGACAGGAAAGAAATAATGATGCAAAAATTTGAACTATCAAATTGAAAGCAAAGATTTTTTTCTTTTTGCCAAATATAAGAAATGTGACTCAACAATTCTGCTGGAATATTGTATACTATAGATAATTAACATATCTACCAGAAGGGTTTGTTGCATTTATTTTGATTTCAAGCTTTATAAATTATAATAGTATCCATACACTAAAAACAATCTTTACCATTTTTTTCTAAACTTGGAGCTGGGTAATTGCTCAAAAGTGTTGGAAATGTGCCTTATTTTTTGCCCTGGCAAGTCTGTTTGAACCATGCCATTGCTTTTCAGCCCTGAAATGTGAAAAAAAAATTGGATTTTTTTAATTTGTTTTTTTACTTTTCAGTAATATTTTTTAATTAATATGGTGACCATGTTTTGTCAGAAAAATTAAATCATAGATTTTATCTTACTTAGCCTAATTGTTACAGTTTTGTGTATGATAGTATTTGGAACAAAGAATGCTTTCAATATAGGATGCGTTTGTATTACAGCACACGTTCTTGTGTACCTATTAATGTGGTTTTACCCCCTAATACATCAATTTAATATTCATACATGTATATTCATGCAGGGATATCATTACCTTGATATCAAATTGGATTTTTTCTGCACACAATCCAAACTCTTTCATAGACTATACTGCCCCCGGTATTGTCATATTTGACCTTTATCCCAACTAACTGAAGTTAAAAAGAAGTTGGACAGGTTCAAGGAAGATCACAGTGCCAGTTGAAACTAACAAATTGGTACAAGGTTTGGGTTTTGTGCAGAAGAAAAACCAATTGGTTGATAATCTATGTCATGTAGAAAATGAGCCGGACGTGAGGCTATCTGTAACAAGTCGTTTTATGCTGGCTTTGAATTTCATAGATCTATATATATAAAGTACATTGTAGTGTTTATCTGCTGTTTAATGTTTTTCCATAACTAATGCAAGTTTTGTTCTTTCTAACAGCGGTACCTTAGAGACCCCGAAAACCCTGATCATCGCGACTTGTTTGATCTCATCAATCAGATGCTTGAATACGACCCTACTGAAAGACTAACCCTCAAGCAGGCCATGATACATCGCGTCTTTGACAAATATCAAGTTAAACCAGAAGGAGAGACATCAAAAGATGGTGACCGGGAACGCTCTCACAGCCTCAGCAGATGAATCCTACTGTGACAAGAGTTATATTGACCAAGAATATCCTGTAACCGTTACCGTACCTACCGTGCGTGAATCCTCGTCCACGGTTTACACAGCAGTGCTGGTGTGATGCCTATGGTCACGGTTGACTGAACACACTAAACTGTTACCATATAGAATCTGCTGGTATGATTCGTGTCGGTGGTAAGCTGGATGTGTGTTTCATCGGCTAAGATAATCTCTCCCTGCATGCGACAGATTCCTGGCAGGAATAGCAAGCATTGATTCGAAAGAAAATTGCCAGTTGTCCATGATGGCTGGTAAGGTGAGAATAGGGCTTTAATACCTGACTTGTGTTTGCTATGAAGACCAACAATGGTCGGAAGTTTGATATGTGGAATGGATCACTCTATGCCTGCTAGTAACAGGTACAGCAGCTGTGTGAGGGTACGTAAGGTATTGAGGCTAGGACTGAAATACCTAGACCATGGATCCATAGTCTCCTGGTTTAGTATGTATCGATAGTTGAGATGTTTTGGTCTTTGTCTGTACGAGTGCCAATGACAGGACGGGAGAACGAAGGACAGAATTTGCCAGACCCTATAGGTGTGAAAAGCCTCGGAAGTGTGAGATGTGTGAAGAATTGAGTGACAAACAGACTGCCCCTTCTTATAAAAAATGTGCAATATATATCGTGTATACTGGTATCGGAGAGACATGCTTGCAAACATGGGATGCATTAATGGCTGTGAGCAATTGTCTTTGCCTGCTGCCATAGTGACATGCATTTAGGTACGTAATTGTCACAGAATGGCGAGGCAAGAGGGACGGAATGTTTATGAAGTAGATGTGTATCAATGCTGTACGCCAACAAGATGTAAACTAATGTTTACTGCAAGGTCGCAGTAGTGTTCAACATTATTTGTTACAACGTCTATATTTGCGATATTTGATATAGGTGAGGTTGTAGCTGAGCAATAATGAGATAATACCTGCATGTCACTGTAACTATAAATATGACTAGTCGCTATGGTTGCGTTGGTGATTATTCTCGGATGCAAATCGTGCTAGGATTGTCCCTTGTCTGTCGTTCCTCTACTTACAAATGCTGTGTGCTGTGATGTTCACCGATTTTAAAGCTGGATCAGATTAGCTTTTGAAACTTCATCATTTTTTTTTTAAAATGTACGTTTTATTGAATGTTTTGTTGTAAGTCATAAGGTCATCTAAAATCTTTGTGATGTTGACGAAAAATCTTCAAAATCAAAACAAGCTGTCAGAAATTGTTTTTTCGTCATTTCAGCATTTTCTGTGAAAGAAGTGACAAAATCACGACTCCCAGTGAGAGAGATTTGAAAAAAATAGATTTGAGAGTATCAAAATAAGACTTTTAATGGCAAAATGTTTCAAATTATATGTTTGTTGTACATTGTGAGTAATATCCTGCTACAGTGAAGGTCAAGCTCAGTTAATTTATTACCATGTTCACTGTTCCACCCAATCTTATCACTGCCTCCTTTTGTATACTCTTACGGTAGTCTTTTGCACAAGGAATAATACTCATAACTCTTAACAAACCACAACAACTTCTTCAAAGCGTTTGTATTTTAAATAAGTTCAGGTGAATGGCAGACAGCCTAGCGATCATGACTTTCCCTAGTAAATTAGACCAGACTTGCTGAATCTTGATCTTGTGTAATATATGTGATGTTAAGCTATTTCATGGTATAAAGTATCAATAGGTTTTGTAAAAGTACACATGCATTTATTAAATGTTAGACTCTCCAGAAAATTATAGCAATATTTTAATGATATAAAATCAAATGTGAATTTATTCTTTTAACATTTTACAGTCACATTTTTTTAACAAATTTCTGAAAGAAAAAAGCATTTTTATGATATAATGGACTGAAAATATTCAATTTTAGTTAAGTTAGATACACTTATATAACATTGTCTGTTCATCAGTGAATCTAATGCTAATTCATAAAACATTAATCAACCAGTACACATGTAAACCAGTACCTCATTGGTTGAATCTAACACTCAATATATGAACCATGATCTGATTGGTTGAATACTAGTACAGTATATATGTAAACCTTGATTTGATTGGATGCATATGAATCCCAGCACAACGTTTTTTCAATCCATCACTTTATACAATATACATTTGAAGTTATTGCACACGGTCACGTAGTATGTGTATTTATGTGAGGCCCAGAAGGGGACTGTATTATGTGAGGCCCAGAAGGGGGTTGTATTATGTTAGGCCCCAGTAAGGTTGTGTTGGGGCCTCACAGAGTCAGGTTAATGTTTGTTGTATATTTCACTCCAGGGGTAGAAACACACGGAACTAATTTATTGGTGCTATTCAATCTGCATGCTATCATCATGTACATAACTTCATAATATGTGCAAATTAAATGTGTGTATAAATAAAACTGTTTCATTGCCCACCAAGTGTTTTATATTTATCTCTGTGAGAATCAACTTTCTTTTTCATTTCCTTTTACTGAAAATATAGAAACTTTCCCGTGTAAAAATATTCACGTTATGACTGATCGCATTGCGAGACATTCTGCGTTGACAATTTTTTCTGAAATCTATTTATATATCTAAGATCTATAATCCATGGGTAATCTATAAATCTATATTCCTTTGTAGAAATTATTTGGGCTAATTTGCACTACGCAAAAATGAGACCGTTTCCACATCGCAAAAACTTCCACTTTAACACTAGCTGAATTGATTAAAACTGCGACATGACTACTTGAATGGAAAGCCATGTGATTAGGTTGGCTAAATAAAGAGATATCCTGATATTTTGCGATATAAAACTTCACACTGTCAGAAAACCATGTGTTACATGCCAGCCTAGCACGACTTCGAATCACTGTCATCCTTCCAAAAAATAATACAAGGAGTTAAAGGTTGTGAAAGAATTTACAAACAAAATATTTAACTGAGCCTGGAGTCCTGGGCCCTTATTCATTAAACCATTCTCATACTAAAATTCAGATTTTGTGCTCAAGCCCAATTCTTATTCCAGTGATAAATTAATGAAAAATTACATTCTGTCAATGGTCTGGAAGAATTTGGGAGAGTCTTGGGGCTGAATACTATTTTCGATGTTTAAACTTGACTTTTTGACCTTGTAAAATGATTTTAAGCCAGCTGCAAAAAAGTAGGTTTGAGCACAGAATCAATGCTTGAGCATGTGAACGGTTTCATGAATACGGGTCCAGGTATCTATACTTCTACTAGTTTTAAAGAAGCAAAAGAAAATTTCACAAGACTGGACTTAAGATATCTGCAATTTTAATTGGGCCTTGTATTTGAGATGCCGGTACCATTTAGTAATTTAGTTGTCAGTCTGTTTGTAAGTTTAAAAGTTTTCTCGTCCATAGAACTGACAAGGACCAATTCCGTCTTTGCGTATTGCAGAGTTATCTTCTCTTGTGAGGCGGTATTGATTGTTATGTCATTGGTTTGTGTGAGAAAATTTCGTCATTTTCCCAAAAATTGATGACGTTACTCTCACAAACAAATGACGTAACAATCAATACCTGCTCACAAGAGAAGATAACTCTGCAATACGAAAAGACGGAATAGGAACTTGCATGTTGAATTTAGGAAAGCTGGAATTAATGAGAGATACTGATAATCAAACTGTTAGAAGTCCAAGGGCAGCTGGCAGAAATCTGTCAAATCTCAGAAATCTAAATAACATTTAGATCTAATATGTCATCTTCATAATCTAAAGAGCAAAAGAAACTTACTTGTGACCTTGGAAGTGTGTCAAGGTCACACATTTGTACAAACATTGTAGCACTTTAATCCCAGCATTCTATTGAGCTGATTGTAACACTTTGGGGTTTTGGTTTAAAGAATTTAACAGATTTGAACCCAGTTATCTTGAAAGTTGGTTAAGGACATTTATTTGAACAAACTTGTCAGCTCTTCATCCCAGCAAGCTACTGGCCAAATATCATCACCCTAGGCCTTTCGGTTAACAAGAAGTCATTAACTTCTGGATATGTTTTGGTGGAATTCACGGAGCCCCGAGGTAAAGGTTTCTCAACAGGAAGGAAGCAAAAGAGCATATATAACAATGCAGAAAGAAAGGCTGGTGTGTTTTGTTTCCTGTTGGAGGTTTAAAGCAGAGGATTCCCTGCCCAGGTATTCAGACAACTGAGAATCACAAGGAGACAAAGGTGGAATGCTGTACAGAGAATGAGCTTGGCAGCAGAGAATGCATCTTACAGGCTCTGGTAAATGTTTGCATTGCGACTCTTTAAACTGAATCTGGTGTGGAAATGTTTGCATAGGTGATGGGTATAGATTCAATAAATCTGAGTTTCTACGATTACAGTACCTCTAGCTGGAAACCATCCACACATTGGTCATCACAACCAACCAACTGTCTATAGAGAACATTCCAGAATAGTGGTCTTTATATCTAGTACGAAAGGTCCTGGTAAAAGAAGAGCTGTATAGTTATTTGGCCTTTTTGTATGTAAGACGGGAAATTCTTTACAGACTACTAATAGCAGAAGACACGGAGTTTCAATGAGATTCCCCAAGATTTAAACGAAGATTTTTCAAGCTTTTTGAAGCACGCTATAGGCCAAATATCATTAACCTTTGATTCTTGGTTATTCAGACTAAGTTCTAGACATTTTTTCTACACAATTGACCTCATTGACTGCAAAAAAACATTTTCGAGGATATAGCCTTTAAGCATTCCATCCTAACATGCTACTTTCCAAATTCCATCACCCTGGGACTCTTGGTTATTTCAGAAGTTTTTCAAAGGCTTTCACATATTTGACCCCTGTGACCTAGAAAGTCTGTCAAGGTCGTTTATTTGAGGCAACTTTTTTTCTGCAAGCATGCTACTGGCCAAATATCAACTTTGACCTCTTGGCTATTCAGAAGGAATTTGACCCTATTGACCTTGAAAGTACTGTATGTCGGGTTCATGTATTTAAGGAAACTTTATAGCACTCCATTATAGTATGCAACTGGCCAAACATCAACAGTCATTCAGATGAAGTAGGTCATGGTAATTTATTTAAGGAAAGTTGAAGCAGTCCATTCAAGTGTACTTCTGACCAAATATCAGTACCAAAGGTCTTTCAGTATTCAAAAAGTTCTTCAGAGAAAAGGGTTGTCAGACAGACGACAGACACTGTACCATACCGTTAGTTTACTGGCACCTCATCCCAGGGGAGTTAATAAACCCGCAGCACGACTGGGCCAGGGTACTACAGCTGACCAGGTAACTTAACTGGTTAGAGTGGTTTGAAACCTGGTCTGGCTCTAGATCTGTTGCATTATTACACTCAGAACAGTTATAGATTGTTGTTGTTGCTTTTTCTTGATTTTTTCTTAATAAAAGTGCCTATTAGTATGATTTTCTTAACATAAACAATTTATTAAGCCTATAGGCACACCAGAAAAACAGTTTCCGTTGCATAGTTCCAGTTTTAAGTGATAGTAAGGAGATATTAGAAAGAAAAAGAACAAACACTGATTTTGATTCTTAAAATACATTTAACTTGCGTAAATTGTATTTCCAACATTCCATATAGCAGAAGGAGATGGGCTCTCTCTAATGTAATATAGACAGTGTAAATCGACCATATCTTATACATGTATTAAGTGTGTTGTACTAAATTCAATCACTGTAGCTCACCCGACTGTGACAGTTACTTCGGCTGTACCCGATAGCAGTGTGTTCCACTAATGACACAACTACTAGTTTACTGATATTGTAACTTACTGCTTTACTTGGCTCATAGCCATTCTCCTTACTAGATGCTGGCACTATAGCTTAAATCACTAGAATTGTTACTCCGGCTGTATATCTGACACCATTAGTTGAAACTCGGTAGCTCGCATGCCTTTAATTGTTACTTTGACTGAGAGCAAGTTTCTTAATGTACTGGATTTCATCACTGTATTTCACATGCTGTAATTGTAACAATGTTACTCTGGCTGTATCTGTCAGCATTATGTTTCCACTAGCTGATACTCTCTCTGTATCTCACATGCTGTAATTGTAACAATGTTACTCTGGCTGTATCTGACAGCATTATGTTTCCACTAGCTGATACTCTCTCTGTATAGCTCACATGCCTTTAATTTTTACTTTGACTGATTGCAATTTTCTTGTACTAGATTCCATCACTGTATATCTCGCATGCTGTAATTATAACTCTGGCTGTATCTGGATAGCGGGTCTAGATACCATCACTGTAGCCTACACTGGTGTACATTCAGCTGTATCTTGAAAGTTCCTTGCATCACAGCAGCTGGTCTGTAACTGAAACAAATAAACATTCTTAGATACATAAGCCTGATTAAGCCATACAGGTTTAGCTAATGTAGGACATGCAATAAAATTGGAAACTGATAGTTATTATTTCTTTGTTGTTACGGTAATATGATATTGATGTTTTACCACCAATTCCTTGTCAGATCAATGGCATATATAATGTGAAATTATAACAACTTACCAATGGATTGATTTAGATGAAAGTTTCCAGAATTTGTTTTTAACATTGAAACCTCATGTTATATTCATTCATAAATTATAATAAGGGGAGATAATCTACTGTAATTTTTGCTACGCATAAGCACTGTTACTCCTGCTAACAGTTGAACACTATTCTGGTTGTCCTGCTATCCAGCCTGTTTACTGGATAACATTTAATTTCTCCAATTTCTAAACAATATTTCGTTTGAGGAAAAGAAGTGGCTTTTCCCTATCAAGCTATGTCCAGCTTGGACTCAAATGTGGGTTTGGGGACTTGGAGGTTTGCTCTATAATAATGAAGTCCATTAAGGTAAATTGTATTACTGCATTAGCTAATATTGTGAAGAAGAGTTCCACACAAGAACTTTTGTAACTTGGAATACTCTTTCTATATATATATATAATAGATAAAACAACCAAAAGGTGTTTTCCCTTGCTTAATCGAGTAACTTCCTGTGTCAAATTATGTATCTTTCAATGTTGTTTTTTCATAGGCTTTAAATTTGCAGCCCATCAATTAGATACTCATTTTGATGAAATGTAAAAGTCCTTATTTCTTTTGTTTTCTTATTTTTATTTCTATTTGTAAATATTTGAATTTCACACAACACTATTCTGTAAAATGTGTGGGAACTTTTTCAATACTTCCTTTGAAAGGACTAGAAATATCTCCCAATAGTGACAGTGGTAATAATATAGTTTAATTTGTTGGTACCCTTTATCTTTACTCATTTATCCCCGCAGATGCATTTGAACTCTTCCAATTCAAAGGTTGGAATAGTTCATTATGAAATTTCAGGGGTGAATGAGTTAAGCAACACAACATAAACCTGAATTCCTTCCTATACCCTATATCACTATAACTTACGGTGTCTGATCATGATTGGTCAAGCTTTAGGTTGTCTACACGGATACCAAACATGTCGGAGGTCCGCAAAATGGCATTTGGAACCGTGCCCATGGGGGTCAGGAGGTCAGTGACCTGGATGTGCTGGATGTCAAGGTCAACAGGACCAAGCTTGCATGATACATTTGTCTTCTCATGCATTTTGATGAAGGCATCTTGTCCAACTGTGGTGGCCATCACACGAAGGAAGCGCTCTCGCAGCAACGTTCTGTGTTCCTGCTGTTTTGATAGGTCAGTATCCATGGTGTCAGCACTTTAATGTTAAAACAGTCTACAATGAGCTCGAGGTTGCAGTTATTTTTTTTGTGATTTAAAGATCTGAACAGTTATAAATGCATGAACAAGTCTGTTTTAAAAACACTTGTGTTTCCATAATCCTACCTAACCAAAACGAATTTGGTTCTTACACCAAATTCAAACATGGTTATGCAATGAAATCTGCTTCATAAAGTTATAAAAAAAATATACAACATTTGATATAGAACCCTATCTAGCTAGAATAAGCCACTCTAAAGCACTTAACAGTACATAGATGTATACAATTTATACAATTAGCACATACATTAATCAATACAATTTTCAGGAATTTGCAGGAGATGCCTTATTAGGCGCTAACTATAGCTACTAGTCCTATGCCACCTGGCTAATATCTCCCCATGTGTGTGCTGGAGATGTATTGTGTTTTGTTGTATATTATTAATATTATTCATAAACTTAAGTCAAAGAGTAAATGTTAAGCAAACTTTGATGTTGATGAAGTACTGTTAATTCAACAGATATGCCAAAAATGCTATTTTATTGGCTTAATGACAATTTTTTACAGTACTGAGAATTGACCGAAGGTTTCTTTTGAAACCTAATATTCCTTTGCCATGCACTGCCCGGAAACAGAAAATACTGGTTCTCGTGTGTCTACGGGGACAAAGACTGAGAAGAAGGATGGAGGAATGTAGTGTAACTAGACTTGGTCATTCCGCTGCAACCAGGTAGCTCAATTATTAGTGTCCGTCTAGAGCTCAGAGGAGTGCAAACTCTGGTCTGGCCATGAATTTTTTCACTCCTATTGTAACAACTAATGATTTTGAAGGAAAATTGCTGCCTTACTAGCAAGCTAGCTTTTCCAGTGTAGCAGACCTTGACTGGGTCGATCGTCGGCAACCAGGTAGCTCAATTGGTAGAGCGCTAGCCTCTGTCTAGAGTTTGGAGGGTCCCGGATTGGAACCCCAGCCAGGCCATTACATTGTCTCTTTTTCCTGTTACACCAGCAATACGGTATGGCCCCAGGAATCCGCTTACTAATTATCAGCGACATCATGATTATATATATATAGTCAATGGATTGATGACTGCTAACACAATACACTATTTACACATTATATGCAATAATGATTTATATTCTACTATAAAGGGAGAAAGGGCAAATGTAATGGCCAGCCCGGGGTTCGAACCCGGAACACTCTGAACTCTAGACTGATGTTCTACCAATTGAGCTACCTCAGGTCACCTAAGATCAACCCGGTCCGCAGTTCGGTTACATCAAATCCTCCTTCCTTTTTGTAAGTCATGCCTCCAAAGACACAACTATCTATATAACCAAAGTTCGCGATCCCTTTGCTTAGCATACTCCCAATGCTTGAAACTTGATTCAGGTTGGCAAGCTCGCCAATTTTATAACAGGAGAACATACATGCCATAACTTTCAGGTGCAAAATAGTGAGATCAATGTTTATTTTTAGTGAGATTTGGTCAAAAATAGTGAGATTTTTTCTCTGAATACGTGAGACATTTAAAACATAAATTATATTGCATATATCATAGTATTGAATCATTTGTGCTATTCTGAAGCCTCTAATTACTTTGTTAGAGCCAGAAGTGAAGATTTTTTGATATATTAAAGGATTTTAGGAAGGTTTACATGTGACATACGGTCCAGATTATAAAAGCTATCAATATTTAAAAGTAAATAAATCACAAAAAAGGCAAAAAATAATATAGTAATGAAAAGAAAGAGAAAATGTAACAGCTAGACTCGGGTTCGAACCTGGGACTGTGGTTCCGAATTCTGGATGAATCTTATAAACTCTAACAATTCACATACATGCATGCTCGCAGATGATCGACCCTGAGTGAGGCTATTTAGTGAAACTGTGAGTCCAGTTCCGCTACAATACTATAGGAGGGTTTACCTTATGTCGATCTAAATTTCTAAAACGTTTAATAACACTTCCTGTACATCAGAATATCATATGTTTAATAAAACATTTTATAAAATTAAAAATTAAAAAAATGACTGTATATATTTTCACGCAATGTAGTCCACCTAACATATGCAACTGACATTATCGTCAAAAATGACTGGCCTTTTACCAATAGGGAAGAAGAGATGAAGAACTGATTCTTTTGACCCTGTTGACTGTTTTCAGGCTTTGTAAATTGAACTTTGTTTCATTAGGCCATGTCCTACCAGTTTACTCTAATTTTAGGCCATCTCCAAATTTACCACTAAAGGAAAGGTCTTACATCCCTAGCACACTGAAGGTTGTCAAAGTGGCAGAAGCCTCTTATGCACAAAAAAGCATAGAATGACTTCTTCCAACGATACTTACACGTTTTTTCCTAGGCTATCTTAAATATTGTAAAAGTCCGAGGATACGGAATGCAAACTCAGAGAGTTCCGAAAAGGGGCGCTGTACGGGGAAACTTTTCAATTAGTTAGTAATTAATAGGTTTTCGTGCAAATATCTTTACTTATTGAATTTCAAGAAATACTCTTTTCAAGTATAATTTTTGCTGTGAAGATGTTTGTTTAGTCTTCAACACTCTTTGTTCTTGTGAGAGGAAATAGTTATTGCGAAATGATAACCGGAAGTGCTGTCTCTTGGGTTACCCTCACAAACAAGATGGATACGTACATTTGACAGGAGATCTGCCTACCCTTCTAACATTCCTATTGACACCACAGAAACAAAATGGCAGAGAAACCCGTCATCGCAGATTTAGACAGTAATGGAAGCGACGAAACGGTCGGACAGGACGAAGCAGAGATAGCCTTGAACGGCATGCACATGCTGTTGAATAACGGGTTTGACGAGGCACAAGCACTGTTCGAGAGATACAAGTAGGTCCCTATCACCAATATAAATTATGTCAAATACATTTCGTTCTCGATTCACAGTTCAAACAATTAATTATATATGAAGGATTGAGATTTTGTGTTTTTTTATCATTACATTTTATACCTGATACTGTGTATAAATGGCTAAGTACATTCCATGTTTATATAATATATATAACGTTACTGTAACGTTTTGCACTCAAATGTCGAAATGACACATGACAATTTGTCATTTCCATGCTAAATCAGGATATGGGGTTTCCCCTTCATAATTATTACCAAACATTATACAGTCACTAACATCAGATCTACGTGAAGTACTTTTATTTTAAATAAAATATATATATATGTTTCCGAAAAGGACATGTATGTAGTTTATGTGTCATATTTGAATATATCAACTGTGATATCTTCAGTTGATAGGTTTCCATGCGTTATATATTCCCGCGCAGCCATTTTATTGCTATATCTCGTAACTACGTGGCCTGCTGGACACTACACAAGGATATTTTAGACGTTTAACCATCGTCTGTAAACTGACACAAAAATTAACGGAAGTTCGTCCGGAAAACATAAGAATTACTGTAATCACTGATTAAAAAACAAGCATAAATATGCAGTTTTGCTTAAGACACTTTTTATCTTGCTCAAAATGAACCCATACCTGAAAAAGCATTGATATACATTCATGAACCGGTCTTATTTAATTTGTAGTCTGACAAATGTTAGAAAATGTTGCATGCAAATGAGGCCACATCTCCTTGCCAATTTTTTTCCACTTCCGAAGAGCGAAGGAGACATTCTTGTAATCCATCAACACTGTTTGCATTGAAACGTAAACCTTGAAATGCAATGAATTTCCAATTTTCAAAATTTTAAACAGAATTAATGAGGCACAATTTTAACTTACCATCAACCAAAACCTATATAAGACTGCACAAAAATAATAATAACATATATTCTATTATAACTTAATAAATGAAATAAATTTAAAACATTACATGAATTAGTTCAAGCTGACATATTGAAAAATCAATAAAAATTGTGAAATTTTAAAAAGTTGTTTTGATAATTAATTTGATGATCAAAGATATTTTTTTTATTCCAAACGAAGCTTTTGTCTGTGCAGGCCACTCTGGAGAATTTCTTTTTAGCGTATTCGAGTTATCTTTCTTTGAACACTAAATAAAAATAAACTCATGGAAACATTTGACGGCTACTTCTGACGGGAGAAATTTGTAAAAAAATGATTGTTCTGATTTTTTTGAAATACTCTTTGATGTTGCTAGTTTTTTGTTTCTATTAGTTAAGATTGTGTACATGTGTATGACAGTCATCCGCAATTTCAACAGTTTTCTGCCGATATGAGTACGAAATCGCGACTGCTTCTTAAGTGCGCGGAAACCGATAACACGAGGATACTTGATACAACATTGTCATTATTTTATGCGTGTAAATCAAAGGTCAAAATGTGAAAATGAAAAATCAAGACGAAAAAACCCAGGAAATCTTTACAAGTATGCACGACACTCGCATACTTAGTTACTTACTTAAGTGTCTTGCCACTTAAAACATAACTGTCAATAAGGTATATTAACCTCTGATTACTTGAACGTCAGGCTTGAACACTGTTTTGAGATGAGGGGCCATGCATATGGTTGATCTGTGCCTTGTGGATTGAGGGCCCCATGTTTTTGGCTATTGCCAGGTATACAATTTATGCCTCATATGTTTCAGAAGTCATCCGGCATTATTACTGGTATTGAGAGAAAAAATAATTTAGAAATTTTACCTGGCTGTCTTATTTATCATGCAATTTTCAAAAACATATAATTACCATACACTATCACCGATAAGGCAGCAAAAAGTACCTGGTAGTTTGTGCTATTTATAGCTTTTGATTTAGTATCAATTCTTTTTTTAGAAATTGCCGATTGTAATATATATATATTAATCACAAAATGCTATTTTCAGCCCAAACATGAAATTCATATCTTGATAGCATGGGGTGCTTTAATCCGCTATGTAAACATGTGTATATGTGTGTGGTGTACTAGTAGACAGATTTTAGACCTTATTTACCCGTCGTTGTGCTCACAATAACAAAGTAAACTGCCTTAAGGTGTTATTTTGGGATTGAATACTGGTACATATACCCTAGTCATTGTTGTAGAAAGTAGAAACCAATTGAAAGTTAAATTGCCAAATCTCAACCATAAATTAATATATAGGACACTTCTAGAAATCAATAGGACACTTCTAGAAAATACATTTCTGATCTTTGATTTTATATATATATATATAGTAAAAACTGTCTAAAACGTGTGACTTATTTCAGGATTAATTAAATAAAGGTTCTTGTGCTTCAAATTATGTATTGTATGTATTTCTACTTGAAAATTTTCCATTTACTCAGTGACAGTAAGATTTGCCCTGAACATAGACTGAAAGCTTAGTACAAGATAAGATCCTTTAAAACAAACAATACACAGAAATACCTGTATTCTAGGGCTGTAACATTACATACACAGCGCAATACTGTTAATTTCGTTATTTTACATGAATTATAATTGTCTTGAAAAATAATTTAAACAGCTTGTCAGTCAGTGTTTTAAAACTTTTATAGCTTGATATTTTATGCTTTTTTATTAGTCCCCCGCCAAAGGCGCCAAAACCATTGCCACTAAACCCCACCTTCACCTTTTTGTCTGCTGGAAAATCAAACTACTCTGCAGTGGAAGTAAAACCACTCAAACAAACAAACAAACAAACAAACCTTTACCTTCATTCCTTGCCTGCCTTGGTCAAGAAATTTGATATTTAGACAAAGGGTTGGTTCATACAGGGGTCTGGGTTTCTCAAGGACTGGTTTATACAGGGATCTGGATGTGATCGAAGCTGGTTTAAACTGCAATAATTTGTATAAAAAAGGGATCTGATTTAGTGATTTAGAGAGGGACTGGTTTATACAAGGATCTGGATAAGACAGAGGTTGGTTTATTAAGGGTGTCTTAAGCTTGTACATGATACATTGAGTGGATTTGCCTCTTAATCTTGTATAAAGATGCTGCCTCTTTTCTTTCAGTTTACATGTATGAATCATATATTTATTTTATATATATTAGATAAATGTACCAGAAATTACACAATAAATTGTGTTAAATTTGTGTATATTTAGTTAGAGCCATTGTGAACAATATTAAGGCCATCAGATTATACAATTATGCACTCCAGCTGACACCCCTCGTGATGTCTAGGTGTAAACAGATGCTGATCAGTTTGTTTGGTGTCAGCTTATACATGTTACTGATCTTATCATATCAATATTTACAATGACTTCCTGTGATAAAGATACCTATTATTGTGAGAAGCTTATAAATAGCTAGCTACAGAGCTAAAAAGGGGTAAACTTCTCTATAAATGATCAAAGCCGTATTGGCCTGTTGAATTTATCATGATGGCCCAGAAAAGTATCTTTTTTAAAAAAAACACTTGACTATGTAATAGTTATCAATAGTGTTGTCTTTTTGGGGAAACCATAGAAAAAGCACAGATTTATACTATCAGTGACCAGATACCTTAGTTAATGTGTGCACCTTGAGTGTTATATGCAGAATACAACAAAGTTATCTACTAACTGTGTGAGGTCCACCTGCCTTTTCAACAGGTTTCATCTGTAATATCTGTGCTACGCGCTGCTTCTTCAAATGGGTAATGATATATGGTGGTCTAGTAAATTGTAGTTATTTATAGTCAGCCAGTAATCAATCTGATTAAAAACTAGATGTTAATTTATCACCTAACACATTAACACAAAGAGTATACTTAAGATCTCTATTTTTATCAGATTGGCCATTGACTTATTTAGTTACAGAACATTATGTTAACTCATTCACCTGAAATTTCATAATGAACTATTCCAACCATTGAATTGGAGGAGTTCAAATGTGTTTTCACTTTTAAGGGGTGAATGAGTTAAGGGTACATAATATGTTACACATTATATCTCTGATTTATATTAGAGTTCTCTCCCTTAATTTATATCAATAAATTGCATTTTCTGTAGATAAAGAACTACCTCAGAGTCCATCTTTATCAGTGTGTGCCTTCAAATACGTCATCCATTAATTAATGTAATTAATTGATTAATCCTTTGAAGAAGATATGTATTGCCATGTTCAGGTAATTTACATATATATCCTTAACTACCTGAAGTCCACTGAAGTGTATAGGTGTACAAAGTGTCCCTGTGTCTCTAGTGTAGTCGGATAAACATGCAATATTTATTTTCTGTTTTCAATCAATATGAAATATTGATGAGGACACTCCATAGTAAATAACACCTGTATTCACGTAGAGTAAATCATGTGGGTATCATTGCTCACCGGAGACACTACTTCACTGATTAAATTACTCGTGGTGTATTCATAGTGAACATTCTCTCTTGAGAGTTGACAGTATAGATCTACCAGTGTTATATACAATGTGATTCACAAGTTACAAAGAGTCGGAGGCTGATGTTGCTGATATACCTTTGATGTTATATCTATGATTGTTTATTATAAGAGCATGAAATTTGTCTTGTGTACTTTGTCAATCTTAACTCTACGTCAGGTCTGCGGCCAAATAAAATAGTACATGTACTGTATATGTCACGTTTTGATCAGCTTCCTAGGGACTGCCCTATGCTCCTTTCTATAGGGGGAGAATCCGTCAGTTTTAGGGTTAATCATCCTCGATAGCCAGGGTTACGCTCACTTTCGCTCACCCCTGGAATATGTCATAGTAAAATTGAAGGCTCAGTGTGCAGCACCTTGTGGAGGAGGCGAAGACTAGTTTGGTCCTTTGATGTACATCAAAGAATCTTGCAGTCGAGTAACGGTAATAACGACAGGCTTTAAAGTCGGGCGTTGCTCCTTTGTTATCTTCAAAGGACAAGTATCAGCCTAGTGATTGGTCAGGTTTTTTTTACCTGACACCAATCAAATAGCTAGCCAGCCTGTCTTTATTTTTGGTATGACATATTCCAGGGGTGTAGAGAGCAAAAGTGATCATAACCCCTGGATATCGAGGTTGGGTTCATAAAGGGAGAGTTGGCAATTATGTCCTCGCTTGTCCTACTTTTTCAATCAGACTTCTGAGGGAGCTTTGCCTGTAACATAATATGTATGTACATGTACAAATGTATGGGTTCTAATATGGCTAACAAGTTATAAGCTTAAAATCTAAAGCGGTACCTATGCTAGACCTTGTTGTCCTACCCTGCAGGTCTTTATGCTAATCATAATGTTAAACTGTTGATGATACAGCATCACATCAGAATATCCATATAGTCTATGTAAAAAGTATTAAAAAATAACACATTTTATTTGCAAGCAGGCAGCTGTTCACAGATTATTCTAAACATACGTGATTGGACACCCCCAAAAATTCCATTTTATGGATGGTTAAGTCTTTGGTAAAATGGGACAGGGGTACATGTTTAACTATATGTATGGAATAAAAGCTGCTACAACCTGTGGAAGATCCATTATTTTGGGAAAAATATCTTACAGAATTGCATTTTTTCTCATGTATACAATTTATGAGAGTTTAAATCTGATTATTGTTTCAGAAATGAGAGTGCCCTGATGCATGCTGGCTATAGTTTTGTCTACTTCATGGTAAGCATTACCCAGAATGATCATGTTACGTGTACATTTATTACATACTATGTAAATCAAACATAACATTTTGTACCAGATTCAGTGGTGTTGTTCAAAATAGCTCATCATTTTCATTTTCATATACTAAAGCTATATTATGTAAAAATATATACATATATACTGTATAACGGGAAATTATTTCACCAAGTAAAACTTTTGCCCTTTTCCCGTAAACTCATTTTTTTTGCCAGTGTAAATTTCGCCCATCACATTTAAATACCTACCAGGGTATGTACTACATATTATGTATGTTGTCTACTTATATTCGCTGTAATGGTAAATTGACCCTTTTTATTGTATGACATTTGATTATTGTATTATCATGTAAAGAAAGTAACTACATATTCATGCTTTGTTGTAAATTCCTGCTTTGAAATTTTACAGCAAGCATTAATGTCATTCGAAGAAGAACGAATAGATGAGGCAGTCAAAGTTTTACAGGAAACAGAGAAGGCATGCAACACAGATTCCGGCATCTTCAAATCACTGAGGAAAAAATTAAGATCCAAGAAAAAGAAAGAGGTACTTGTTTTATTTCTTAAGTTACTTAAGTTTTGAGTCGGCAAGTATGATTGGTTGGATACATATATACCAGAGATAGATCTGGGATTGTTTGGCTGAACTCGTTTTGTACCTGGGGAAAATAATCTTTAATCGGGAAACTTCTGTGTGGTCTAAGTTCACCAGGTTTATAGTCGTGCTTCCCCAAAATAGAAAGATTATTGAAAAAAATGAAATAATTTATTTTGAATATTCTATGTGCCAATCGAAAAAGATGGGATGTATTTTATTATCATGTGAGTGGGCTATAGTAAATAAATGTTTCCTTCTGTAATTTATGGAGTTATTGCCCTTTATTTAATATACATTCTTCAGCCAATACAGTTTACTCTTTTCACAGGTATAGTTCGAATTCTCAACTTTACAGAGTAATACCATACAAATCATGTTATGCATGTATTAATATATTTTTATGCATACACATCAGAACTAATTATTTGAAGTATGTAAATTTGGCTTGGGATGGGCATATATTGTTTTGCCTCGCAATACTCTTGTTTTTTTGCTGCCTTTAGTTCTGACCTTCTATTTGTGAACTGTATATATGTGTTTTTCTTTTCTGTGACAGTCGGAGCAGCAGGTGAGTGTAGAGGAACGTATCCAGCGTCAGGTTGTGGTAGCTGACTCGCTACTGTACCAGTCCATCTTAGTAATGACTAGCCAGGACATCGCCGGCTACATGAAGGGTGGCTGGCATCTGCGCAGGGCATGGAAAATTTATGAGAAACTCCACAAGGAGGTGATCAGTCTACAGGAAAAGCAAGCCAAACTCAAACACAGTCGGTCAAAAAATAGTCTTCCCCAAAATCGTGTGAACGCCACTCAGGAAGGGGCTTACGATGACAATGAAAATGAACTCCCAGAGGAGGTTTTGTCCCGTCTTTTGGGGGCTGTTAACTTTGGATTTGGAACATTCCAGCTGTGTATATCCATGGTCCCGCCTAAAATTCTAAAATTGATCGAGTTTCTGGGATTTGAGGGTGACCGTGTAGCGGGACTGGCAGCGTTGGATCATACTAGTCGTAGTAAGGACATGAAAGCACCCCTAGCAACACTTGGGTTGCTATGGTATCACACTGTGTTACGACCTTTCTTTGCATTGGATGGGGCTAATGACTGCAGTGCTGGTAAGTACAGCATAAGTGGTATATATGAGAGTCATAAAAAAAATAAAAAAATAAGAAGCACCATGCTTTGGAACTTTAAGATGTTCTAACTTGAATATATTTCTCAAAATACATAATGTTTTTGCAGAGGATATACATTCAAAGCAATATACAACACTGTATTTACATCTCTTCTTTCTCTATCTTGGTAAACTCTGACTGCGTATAAATTAGCACCGTAATGGTCGTTGTCAGATGCATTCATGCTACCATATACGCTGTCAAAATGAAGGTCAATCCTTATGTGTACACAATACATATAAATATAGGTGTCGTAAGTTATAACAACAGTATGATCCAGTGTTGGCACTGGATCTGAACAAACAAATGTTGGTTGGATGTGTACTACTTAATTAGATATGTGGGCAAAGAAAAAATAACGACAGAGCAGACAAAGAAACTTGTCAAATGTTCAGGGCTATCCACCCCTGATATATAATTCAGGTTCTGTTATAACATACAAAGCTTCAACTTTAACTCATTTACCCCTGACCTTTCATAATGGACTATTCCAACCTTTGAATTGGAAGAGTTTAAATGTCTTCGGGGGTAAAAGAGTTCATTTTTTATTTTTGCAAAATAAGGTCGCCATTATAAGATATTCCTGACTTAAAACCATTTTGTTTATTTGTGATACAGGCACAGAAGATGCGGAACAAATCATTGACAGTAAGGAGCGTGAGTTTGAGCATTCCTCGCTGTTTCTCTTCTTCAGAGGCCGTATATGTAAATTACGGGTAGGTTGTAGAATGATTAGCTATGTGTTGTAACTTCACTGTCAGAGATCAATGTACAGAATGTATTATTGTATGTATGCTGCTATAAGCCCGGGGGACAGCACATAATATCTCACTCAAAGTAGAGGAATGGGTTTATAATTGGACAGTGGAATAGAGTTTTGAATTTTGGATTGGCTTTTTACCAGGCATTGGCTGACTGATGAATAAATGCTGTAATTGTAAAACATCCCTGTATTTGTATCCAGGCACTTGTATCATCAATTAACAGTTTGATATTGTATGATTCTGGTGAGGGTAACTCATACTTGCCAGCTCTCTGTATTTAGGAGGAAGACTTACGATTTTGGACCCTTAAATTGAGCATTTTCAATCAGTGAATTTTCTAAATCTCATGAATGGATGATTTCATCTGAAAGAACAGCTAAAAACTGCCATTTCAAAGTATTATTTTTCCCCAGGGTGTACATACACACAAATTATTTATGCTTTCAATTTTGAGCATGCGTAACCTTCCCCATGCAAATTTCAAAAAGCTGGCAAGTATGGTAATTGGCTGGTGACCATTACATTATCTAATCTTTCTTATTTTAAGAAAATGGCTATACACATTGTATGATGGTTAGAGTTACAGGTAAATGATGCTGGATTCAGAAGGTTGTCGATCTTAGTAGTTAGTGTTTCTATGATATATAACAAATTAATGTGTCAAGTAGTGTTGATCCAAAAGTTCAAGTCGGAATCAAAGTATGAATATTTTTGGTAATACATCTTGTATCTACAATAGTTTATATTTTATGACTGCTATATATACATTAATGTGTACCTCAATTACCAAATTAAACCTTCTGTTTTATGATAGATCACCAAATTTTTAATAGCTTAATTTCATCAATTTTTTTTCTTTTCTGTATTGCTGCAAAGAAATTGCTGTAAATAATGCCCATATCTGATTAAATCAATATATGCTTGTTTGACGAATGATCCTATATTTTTTTCCAGCGGAAGTCAGATGAAGCTATGACAATGTATTCTCAGGCATTAGAGGCCGCTGCTGGTCAGAGGGAGATTGAACTCATGTGTCAGTATGAAATAGGTAAGTTATTGTCAGAGGGAGATTGTACTTATGTGTCAGTATGAAATCGGTAAGTTATTGTCAGAGGGAGATTGTACTCATGTGTCAGTATGAAATAGGTAAGTTATTGTCAGAGGGAGATTGTACTCATGTGTCAGTATGAAATCGGTAAGTTATTGTCAGAGGGAGATTGTACTCATGTGTCAGTATGAAATAGGTAAGTTATTGTCAGAGGGAGATTGTACTCATGTGTCAGTATGAAATCGGTAAGTTATTGTCAGAGGGAGATTGTACTCATGTGTCAGTATGAAATAGGTAAGTTATTGTCAGAGGGAGATTGTACTCATGTGTCAGTATGAAATAGGTAAGTTATTGTCAGAGGGAGATTGTACTCATGTGTCAGTATGAAATAGGTAAGTTATTGTCAGAGGGAGATTGTACTCATGTGTCAGTATGAAATAGGTAAGTTATTGTCAGAGGGAGATTGAACTCATGTGTCAGTATGAAATAGGTAAGTTACTGTCAGAGGGAGATTGAACTCATGTGTCAGTATGAAATAGGTAAGTTATTGTCAGAGGGAGATTGAACTCATGTGTCAGTATGAAATAGGTAAGTTATTGTCAGAGGGAGATTGAACTCATGTGTCAGTATGAAATAGGTAAGTTATTGTCAGAGGGAGATTGAACTCATGTGTCAGTATGAAATAGGTAAGTTATTGTCAGAGGGAGATTGAACTCATGTGTCAGTATGAAATAGGTAAGTTATTGTCAGAGGGAGATTGAACTCATGTGTCAGTATGAAATAGGTAAGTTATTGTCAGAGGGAGATTGAACTCATGTGTCAGCAGTGGCGGACCCAGGGGTGTTGCCCTAGTTGCCCGGGCAACACCTTTTTTTCTGTGTCCAAAAATAATCTGGACTTAGGTTTTTGAAGATTTTCCTCTTTTTCATATGGGATTTTCTTCTAATATCAACCATCCCGTGAATTATGAATTTCTATGGTAAGCACCAGTTTGAATATCTATATATGCCTAAGGGTGCAGTTGCCCAAACAAGGAGTCCACTACTTATACTCTAAACAATAGGGGATAAATCCTATATTAGTAGGGTCTCCAGTCAGGTCAGTGGTGAAGGCTCAACGGACTGTCTACCTAGTCATATTGTTCTAATGTCACGGTGTGGTAATCACCCTGTCCGTTGAGAGAGGATATAAACCATCTGTTGGAATTAGGTATATAGGTCTTCAACTTCAACAGGATACTCTAAAACGTTCAATATACTGAACATTATTTAGAGGCGTCAGAGAGATCGGTTAAAAACAAGTATTTTTATTTTTTATTTTTTAGAACTATATAATAAAAACAACATGTACGCTTAGAATTTGTGAGAAAGGAGATTTGCCTTCAGTGTTGAGAGGTCTGCACTGTTGGCAATGAAGGTTGGGAGGCTGTTCCAGGTACAAATTGTTCCAGGAAAGAATGAATTTGCATGATAATTTGTGGAGCTGTGTACATGTGGAATCTGGAATTTGTGTTGTCGGGTTCGCTGGAGAATTTGAAGGTTGCCATCATATGCCACAAGGCTGTTTATGATTTTATATAGTAATATGGTGGAGGTCATTTTACGGCGTTGTTCAAGGGATTGCCAGTTCAGGGTTTCGAGGTTTATTGTTATTTCAAAGGTAGAGTCCATTTCATGATAGATAAACCTGTATTTTCACCTGTGGTTTCATGTACACATGATCACCAGGAGTGATTTATTATACCTATTCAAAAATGTAAATTTCAAAAGTTTCAAAGACAATAAAGCATCCACCTTAGCATCACGTTATCAGGTGAATAATAACCAATGTTAGCATAAAAGCCTGGCATGTACATATATCCTTTTCAACAGGTGTTGCCCTTGTACATATGCATGCATACAAATTCACAATAAAAGACATACAGTCAAATCATAAGTCATATTTATGACAAAATAAATCAATATTGAATTGCCAAATGTGATATCATTAAATCGATTTTATGATATAACTAATTATTTTATGATATCACTAATTATTTTGTGATATCACTAATTGATTTATGATAACATAAAATCGATTTTATGATATCGCAAATTCTTTAAATGATATCACAAATTCCATTTTATGATATCATTAAATCAGGCTATTTTATGATATCATTAAATCAGGCTATTTTATGATATCATAAATTTGAATATATGATAGCATTAAAAGAATTTGTGATATCATAAAATCAATTTTTCTAAGGACTGCTCCCTCAGAAAGTGGATGTGGAATTAAAGAACAGTAACTCTGTTTGGATTGCCATTCGCGCCAATTTGAGGAAGATCGATGGAATGGTGCCCAATGCTCTAAGAGGACAATGAAATTGAAAATGAAGATGAGTTTAGGCCTAACATTAGCGGTCTATATCAGAGAAGCGTGGATCTGTTCAGACCAAAACGGGATATGATCTATAATATATTCGTTCTACATTATTCAGTTATTCTCGTCTCAGCAGCTCGTCTCAGCACACCATTTAAGATAGACAATGCAACAAAACCAAGCGTTTAAATATACATCTTTCTGGTCCATAGACGTGGTGATGGTGTATAAAGGTGATGGGGAGAACTCATTATTTCGTGCTAACAGTTTCTTATTTTATGATATCATTAATTCGAATTCATGATATCATTAAATCAGACTATTTTATGATATCATAAATTCAAATTTTTGATATCATTAAATCAATTTTATGATATCATTAATTCCATTTTATGATATCATAAATTCATTTAATGATATCATTAAATACATCTATTTTATGATATCATAAAATCGAATTAATGATATCATAAAATCAATTTAATGATATCATATTTTGTGAATAAATACCAAAACGGCACCCCATAGTGTCAGTATGAAATAGGTAAGTTATTGTCAGAGGGAGATTAAACTCATGTGTCAGTATGAAAGTGGTCCGTTATTGTTCACTTTCTGTAAATGTGTAAATCTTTACAGGTAGTACAGTAGTCCCTGTAAAAATGAACTCCTGTGAAATCAAACCTCTGTGAAAAGAAGCTAGTGTGAAACAACTGCATATGAATAACAAAGTATGTAGTAACAGATGAAAAGCTTGTGTCTATATTGTGTATAAATGACTTTTATATAAAGAAGTATAATTCTGATTTCTTCCTTTGAACATTTAGGTTGGTGCAATTTGATGAAGCTCAACTACAGTGAATGCCTCAACAACTTCAAACGGTAAATAATGGACCTCCATGTACAGTCTCACATATACATACATTGTATACACATATTATATACTTGTATCTGGCTTTACCTGTAATAGGTCCATGCTCAGTAATTAGCCCACCCTAGAGATTCAGGACATATTTTACAGATTAGGTTTTCTATTTTGCCCCATGGTCCTATAGTGTTACACGCTATCCCGCCTTACCACTGTGAGACGATTCACAACACGTCCCATCTTGGTTCAATATACATGTACCACGGTCCTTTGTATTTTGAAATATCTTTTCACTGCAGCAGAGATGTGAAGGTCTCTTATCCCACTTTAAGTTAATTTTCCCATTAAATAAAAGAGTAAGTAATTCTGAAAGTATGCATTGTTCACTGTAACAGCGGGTAACACTCAATGTCAGCTTTTATGTCTGTATACTATTGAGATTTCTATAAGTGACTGAATTTCTGTTAACAGGTTGAAGGATGAAACCAAGTGGTCAAAATGTTACTATACATATCTCATGGGAGGTGAGTATATAATCTGTCATATACTGTGTTATTCACATAGCTAATGGGAGCTTGAGGTGACTACAACAACGTTACATACAGTGTGTTTCACATAACTAATGGGAAAAGGATCAGAACAGTGTGTTTCACAAAATTTAGTGTGTCTGGGTGTTATGGTAGAAATGATTGTAGAGAGCTGCTCCATCTTTTGCAGTGTGTCTGGATGTGATATGATACTAGAGAAATGTCTCCCTTTGCATGTTTCTGGGTGTAGAGTAGATATAATAGAGAGTATCTCCCTTGTAGTATGTCTGGGTGCTATGGGAGATTTGCTTGCTGCTGAGGAGACACTGAAGAAGGTACCAGGACTCCTCAAAAAGAAGAACCACCAAATAGAGGCATTTGTCTCTCGAAGGGTATGTATTTTTGGCCGGATTGCAATGCAATCATGGCTTATAGATTGGCGATTCCCATCCGTCCGTCCCTCTGTCTGCACTAAGGTTAAGAAGAATGGTTAAGCTCCGCTTCCAAATTATTGATTAAGCCACATCAACTAAACTTGCATGGCTTATGTATCAAAGGATTCTTATCACATTCGATGCTTCGGATGCTGCTTCTGACCTACATTTTCAACTTGACTGACCAGGTTAAGAAGATTGGTTGATGTCAGGCCCCATCTGCACTATGGTTAAGAAGATTGGTTTAGGTCACTACTACTTGTCCTACATCAACTTAACTTGCAAGGCTTATGTATCTAAGGATGCTTATCACATGCGATGCTTCGCATGCTGGTTCTGACCTACATTTTCCGCTTCAGTGACCAGGTGAAGACGTTTGGATGCAGTCAGGCCCCATCTGCACTATGGTTAAGAAGATTGGTTAAGGTCACTTACTAAGTAACTACTTGTCCTACATCAACTTAACTTGCAAGGCTTATGTATCTAAGGATGCTTATCACATGCGATTCTTCGCATGCTGGTTCTGACCTACATTTTCCGCTTCAGTGACCAGGTGAAGACGTTTGGATGCAGTCAGGCCCCATCTGCACTATGGTTAAGAAGATTGGTTAAGGTCACTTACTAAGTAACTACTTGTCCTACATCAACTAAACTTGCATGGCTTATGTGTCTAAGGATGCTTATCACATTCGATGCTTTGGATGCTGGTTCTGACCTACATTTTCCACTTCAGTGATTGGTTTATGTCAATTACCAAGTAACTACTTGTTGTACATCAACTAAACTTGCATGGCTTATTATATCATAAAGGATGCTTATCACAAGAGATGCATTACATGAAAATGTACTGAAGCAGTCCCGCCATATCGATATTGGCGGTTTCTTGTTATACCCTAAATTAATGGAGTAGGAGATGGCCGGGGCTTGGGTATAGAAAAACGTAGTTACTTTGTCTATTTCTCCCCCATCCATCAATTTAGATATTTTTTAGAAGCGTAACTTGTTAACCTGTGATAGTAGTAATTACTATAATAAAGATTCATTTATAAATGTGTAAAGTTGAATGAAAAGTCAAGGTCGACGCAGATTTCTTGTTTACCAGTTTATTCCCACAATATGTGGAACATAATAAAAAAAAAAAAACCTATGGGTCGGGGGTTTACACGAATGAAGATCTGTATCCGCGCGTTCTCAATCGAAAACTATCATCTCAGATCTAGAGAAAAGACTTCAAGACTGAAACTTCTGGATATAAATTACATCCACCCTTTAGCTCTGTCTATGAAGGAATACTAAAAACCGCGCCAAAACATGTAACAAAGACAACTGGACTGACCACTAACGAAAACGAGGTAACACCTATATTTAGAACAATTACCTTATATGGACGTAACAAGGTAAGACAAGTGACAGGTGACAACATACTCACGTGTACAAAAACAACACAGGTAAACGGCACAGTGATCGTACACAGCACATGTATACGCGAACAGCACGATATACGCAGCGCAACAATTAATTTAATTTAAAAACATTTTATCACAGCCTTTATTAAAACACCAATATTTTCACATTGTTACAAATGTACTTAAATTGTATGTGTATCATGACTAAACCATGTATTTCACATACAAGTACACATTCACAAGTACTTTTAAAGTCAAGGTCATACCATGAGGTCATATCGAATCCCTGCAATACAAGTATGACAAGATCAAGGCCACAGCAAAGACTCAGAATTCAAATTAGCACAACGATGTCATGGTAATACATAACTATAGCGCTCTGAACTCTTGAATCATTATACAATTTTGACCGATTTTTTGTAGGTTTCTCTTTTATTGTTTAAGAGTAAAATATTGCAATAATTTACCTCTAATTGTATTGAATTGGTGGTAAGTTTATCAGTAAACATATAGTACATGAAACTAATAAGCTTTATATTTTGTGCTTACTATAGCATGTGTAATAACACTTCATTATAGCTGGATAATTGGGCATATGTTCTTACCAATTTTATACAGGCAGAGAAAATCAAAAAGATGGTGTTGACTCAAGAGTATTGTCGACTTTTAACACTGGAACTGGTCTTCCTTTGGCATGCTCTTCCTACCTGTACTCCGACGGAACTCCAACCCTACCTCAATGGTAAATATTCACATTTTATATCTACATCTTTACCTGTACTCCGACAGAACTCCAACCCTTCTCAATGGGAAATATTCACATTTTATTCCTACCTGTACTCCGACGGAACTCCAACCCTACCTCAACGGCAAATATTCACATTTTATACCTACATCTTTACCCGTACTCCGACAGAACTCCAACCCTACCTCAATGGTAAATAATCACATTTTATACCTACATCTTTACCTGTTCTCCGACAGAACTCCACCCCTTCCTCAATGGTAAATATTCACATTTTATACCTACATCTTTACCTGTTCTCCGACAGAACTCCAACCCTTCCTCAATGGTAAATATTCACATTTTAATCCTACCTGTACTCCGACGGAACTCCAACCCTTCCTCAATGTTAAATATACACATTTTATACTTACATCTTTACCTGTTCTCCGACGGAACTCCAACCCTGCCTCAATGGTAAATATTCACATTTTATACCTACATCTTTACCTGTTTTCCGACAGCACTCCAACCCTTCCTCAATGGTAAATATTCACATTTTATACCTACATCTTTACCTGTACTCCGACGGAACTCCAACCCTACCTCAATGGTAAATAATCACATTTTATACCTACATCTTTACCTGTACTCCGACGGAACTCCAACCCTACCTCAACGGTAAATATTCACATTTTGTACCTACATCTTTACCTGTACTCCGACTGAACTCCAACCCTTCCTCAATGGTAAATATTCACATTTTATTCCTACTTGTACTCTGACGGTACTCCAACCCTACCTCAACGGTAAATATTCACATTTTATACCTACCTGTTCTACAGGGAAACTCAAACTATACCACAATGGTAATTAGTTTCCTGTCATATGTGTTACGTAGGTAGAAAACCTTATGTCTATTTGATTGTGTGTGACATTATTTTGACATTTGTCTAGACTTTATGACTCTGCATACCAAATGTTGAAAGGGTGATGTTTATTTGACAGTTTGTGACATGCAGACAGATATCAAGTCCTTCCACCTGAAGTGTCTCCTGGAGGGATCTGTGTTTAAGGAGCTTGGTGAAGAGGAACTAGCCATCCAGGTACGTACTGTGTTTCTCACCTGTTACGTATTCAAGTGTTAGGTGGTGCTCGTTAGCCATATAACTCTCCTTAAACTTTTTTTTAATCCTGACCTGTGTATATTTTTGGAAATGAATAAAATGACCAGTGTCTATTAAATTAACTAGGTCATAAACAGTGAACAAATAACTGGTACATTGGCTTGTAGAGACTGTATAAGTAAGTGGAAATTTTCACAGTGTGACTTGATCTTTAAACTGATTGCCGTGTGGAATTTTTTTAATTGACAATGGTTCTGAAATCTTTATATATTTTATACATCTATAATCTATATATTCTTTAACTCATTCACCCCTGTAGACACATTTGAACCCTTCCAATTCAAAGGTTGGAATAGTTCATTATGAAAGTTCTGGGGTCAATGAGTTAACTCAATATTTGCATGTGAATATTTATGCATGATGTACTTACTTATTGAGGAAAATGTGAGCATTTCCATACCATAAAAATTGCCATGTTTGCAGAACAAAAAATAATCTAATGTGAAAATAAATTGTGATTGTCTTTGAACTTTGGTATGATAAAATAAACATAACCTTAAAAAAATGCATTAGAGGTCTTTTGACTAGATAGCTCCTCAGAATATGATGAAGTTTAACTGCAGGGGACTTCAATTCACTTTGGGTGATCTAAGGCACAATCTTTTTCCAATAAATGTAACATTTATTTAATGATTGACCTTCATTTTGACGGCGTATACAGTAGTATGAACGCAGTTGGCAACGAACATATTCTATGGTGCGTGTTAGCCTTATATTTACATTAAAAAAAATTAAATGCTACATTAAGCAGAAAAAAGTTGAAGCGGGTCGCCACGATGTTGACTACAGTAGCCGTGGTTGCTAGGAAAATATAGTTCCAGTGAATCTACATCGATATATGAGTACATTTAGAAAATATGCAGTGAACAACACTTTTTTTTTCCTTTTATGGGTTTTAATTTTAAACAAAGCAATATGAGAAGACTTCAAACTTTTCTAATCATTTACAATGGTTGTCATGTACGCGCATTGACACACTGCTTATGGAGTGACGCGCGTTACCGCCAAAGAAATTTGAATGTGCATCCATGGAATAAGAAGGCTGCAAGCATCCTTTTGTTGTATAATAAGATATAATGATCCCGAATACGTCAAGGAACAAAACAACAACTGTTGTCATCGGACTGTTATCTCGCTGAAGCATGAACGGCGCCATATTTGAAACAGATATCAATCCGCAGAGCCTTTTTTCACTGCGTATACGCTAATTTATACGCAGTAAGAGTTTACTAAGCTGAAGAAGGCAGACATGTTAATATATAGAAATGGCTTGACTTTGGTGTTTTAGTGTCGGTTTATTTATATTTTACATAGAACTTTCTGTAGGGCTGCTTTGGTTTATCGCGATCCAAACAGTTGGACTGGCTGGACAAGAGTTGTTCGTATATGCAATAAGGTCAGACTAAGTAATCTGATGCTGTTTTCAGGCAAGCCTTGATAAAACCTTGAAAGGCCTGCATAAATGTTTGACAGTCTGCCAGGCTTTATACCCAAAATTGTTACATTTAGAAGCAGACAAGCCAGTTGTTCCTCATAATTGAACAGGCCCATTGTTTCATTAAGAAACTATTTTAACAAATCTCATTATTGCCAATCTGAAGAAATAAATATGTGATTGTTTTGACAGTGTTTAGAGGAGGCCATAGCCAGACACCAGGGTATGAAGGACGATCACCACATAGCAGCATTCGCCAACTACGAATTGGCATCCATCTATATAAAGAAACCAGAGGTAAGTCTAAGTTGTGGATGGTTGTCTCCCTTTGTAGAAACATCACAGGTAAGTCTAAGTTGTGGATGGTTGTCTCCTTTGTAGAACCATCACAGGTAAGTCTGAGTTGTGGATGGTTGTCTCCCTTTGTAGAACCATCACAGGTAAGTCCAAGTTGTGGAGGGTTGTCTCCCTTTGTAGAACCATCACAGGTAAGTCTAAGTTGTGGAGGGTTGTCTCCCTTTGTAGAACCATCACAGGTAAACAATGATTTTAGGGTATTTTATGTGGAATAAGCTTGTTACACAAAATATTATTGACAACAATCTTTGTGTACTTAGACATCAGTTTTTTGTAGTGTTTGTACACAAATAGATCTGTGATCAACTGTATAGTTAGTAATATTTGTGGGGATTTAATTTCGCTGTATTCACCGCCACAAAAGATAGCGCAAAATAAAATACCCAGCGAATCTTGATACCTTGAATGATAATTTCTGTAAATATTTATTTTAAAACACAGAAGAAAAGTCTGTTAATGTACATGTTTACTGCTGAACTATAAACTTCATCTATACATTTGTTTGGTTTCATGTCTCTATCGTATCTTATAGAAGAAAATTGTAAAGAAAAATTTACAACATTAAAAGTGTTCTCAGCATTATTTCTACATCTCGTTAAAATTACAGACATTGTTTTCATGTTTTTTTTAAAACAATTGCTATTAACCTTTACAGACTGTGGCAAAGGCCAAATCCTTACTCCAGTATATCAAGGTAAGTGCTCTATCACATTTTCAAGGTTAACTGACTATCCAATTTGTCATATTTTCAATGTGTTTATTCAAGACTTTAAATCATTTGCATATTTTCAAGAGAAATTCTGCTAAAACTTGTTTTTAGCTGTTAAATACTTAAATTATACTGTTGGAAAAAGAAGCACATGGCCAAATTCAAAAACATTCAAGATGGCCATACAATGAACCCTAACTGACAAAACAATAAATGTGAAATGTCATAGTCAGGAATTCATTGAGGTTTTTCAAAGTGGAAAAAATGAGGGTTAGAGGTTGAGACTCCCCCTCCTAAATCGAATTTCCATGGAAATGTATACCAGTTTACATACATGTAGAATTGTAAACTGTTTAATTTACTTGAATCATAAATCAGTCAGATGTTATTAGAAATGGATCGGGTTTAGAGGGCAGAAAATAATATAAGATTAGGATTAAATTACTGAGAAATCTATACAGATGTATGTAGTTGAGGGCCAGGGTTGGTTTGTTGAGAAATCTATACAGTTGTATGTAGTTGAGGGCCAGGGTTGGTTTATTGAGAAATCTATACAGTTGTATGAAGTTGAGGGCCAGGGTTGGTTTATTGAGAAATCTATACAGTTGTATGTAGTTGAGGGTCAGGGTTGGTTTATTGAGAAATCTATACAGTTGTATGTAGTTGAGGGTCAGGGTTGGTTTATTGAGAAATCTATACGTACTGTTGTATGTAGTTGAGGGTCAGGGTTGGTTTATTGAGAAATCTATATGTACAGTTGTATGTAGTTGAGGGTCAGGGTTGGTTTATTGAGAAATCTATACAGTTGTATGTAGTTGAGGGTCAGGGTTGGTTTATTGAGAAATCTATACAGTTGTATGTAGTTGAGGGTCAGGGTTGGTTTATTGAGAAATCTATACAGTTGTATGTAGTTGAGGGTCAGGGTTGGTTTATTGAGAAATCTATACAGTTGTATGTAGTTGAGGGTCAGGGTTGGTTTATTGAGAAATCTATACAGTTGTATGTAGTTGAGGGTCAGGGTTGGTTTATTGAGAAATCTATACAGTTGTATGTAGTTGAGGGTCAGGGTTGGTTTATTGAGAAATCTATACAGTTGTATGTAGTTGAGGGTCAGGGTTGGTTTATTGAGAAATCTATACAGTTGTATGTAGTTGAGGGTCAGGGTTGGTTTATTGAGAAATCTATACAGTTGTATGTAGTTGAGGGTCAGGGTTGGTTTATTGAGAAATCTATACAGTTGTATGTAGTTGAGGGTCAGGGTTGGTTTATTGAGAAATCTATACAGTTGTATGTAGTTGAGGGTCAGGGTTGGTTTATTGAGAAATCTATACAGTTGTATGTAGTTGAGGGTCAGGGTTGGTTTATTGAGAAATCTATACAGTTGTATGTAGTTGAGGGTCAGGGTTGGTTTATTGAGAAATCTATACAGTTGTATGTAGTTGAGGGTCAGGGTTGGTTTATTGAGAAATCTATACAGTTGTATGTAGTTGAGGGTCAGGGTTGGTTTATTGAGAAATCTATACAGTTGTATGTAGTTGAGGGTCAGGGTTGGTTTATTGAGAAATCTATACAGTTGTATGTAGTTGAGGGTCAGGGTTGGTTTATTGAGAAATCTATACAGTTGTATGTAGTTGAGGGTCAGGGTTGGTTTATTGAGAAATCTATACAGTTGTATGTAGTTGAGGGTCAGGGTTGGTTTATTGAGAAATCTATACAGTTGTATGTAGTTGAGGGTCAGGGTTGGTTTATTGAGAAATCTATACAGTTGTATGTAGTTGAGGGTCAGGGTTGGTTTATTGAGAAATCTATACAGTTGTATGTAGTTGAGGGTCAGGGTTGGTTTATTGAGAAATCTATACAGTTGTATGTAGTTGAGGGTCAGGGTTGGTTTATTGAGAAATCTATACAGTTGTATGTAGTTGAGGGTCAGGGTTGGTTTATTGAGAAATCTATACAGTTGTATGTAGTTGAGGGTCAGGGTTGGTTTATTGAGAAATCTATACAGTTGTATGTAGTTGAGGGTCAGGGTTGGATTATTGAGAAATCTATACAGTTGTATGTAGTTGAGGGTCACGGTTCACATGCCTTTAAGTTTTCTGTTATGGTACACTAGCTGTTATTGTATTGTGTTTGTGTATACTTTTCATACATTAACACATTCCTATGTAATCGCCATTATAGGATACGTACAAAGATTACGACTTTGAGAACCGCCTGACTGTGAGGATCAACAATGCTTTAAGAAAGCTAAAGGAAAACGAACTTTCGGCTTAAAGGAAGGAACTTACCATGCACCTGTAAACCAGGAAAATCTTCATACTTCCTTCCATACGTTTCTGTTTTACTTGAACAAGTGTGGGTTAGTTAGTTCATTGGGAGATGTTGTTCACAGACATTTTATATGGTTGATAAAGTTGAGATAAAGATTGTTAAACACAGCCAAGGTTACTAAGGTTGACTGGCTAGGTTACCCTGACAATGACTCTACACTATGTATAGCGTAACCATAGAAACCTACTGGGGGGGGGGGGATCTATAATCCTCGGAATTAGGGGAACAGGAGAGGTATAGTCCCATGGATTTATCAGCTTCTTGTTATAGGGATCATTGCAAAGGGGGCAGGACAAATCTATGGTTATTGGGATCCCTGTGAGGGGGCAGGTCAGATCTATGGAAGGGTATGAAGTTTACCTATTAGTGATTTTTTATGCACTAGTATCATTTACTCAAGAGTAAATTTATAAATAGAAAATGTAAAATATTGCTATCTGATGTCGTTTTATTTTGATTGTTAGCTGTTTGCTTTTGTAAAAAGAAATACTCAATAAGTTAAATGAAAATTTGCATTTGAGGGAAATGAAAATTCAGGTTAAGGATGTATGCTATCATACTGTATCCTGCATCCCATTTTAAAAGAGTTCTACATTAAAAGTTTAAGAAGCTTGTATGAAATTGGTCATTTTGATTTATTGATAAATTGATAAAGCATATGAAATGTGCAAAATAATATCTCATGCATTGAAAACACTAGGGCTATTAGAGATTTCTTTTAGGGGGAGATAACTGTTCCACAAATCAAAGGTATAAAGTGAAAGGTAGCATATAGCCTTAACTGATAAATCTTATGTCAGCTGATGTACCAATCATAGAGGTCTCCCACCCAAATTGTTATTTGTCCCTGTTTGACGTAAAAAGTTAAGGTCTTGTGGCACTTTTGCCATAGATTTTGCTAATTGTGTGTGACTGTCATGCTGAAATATTTTGTTAGGAGTAATGTTTTCTGCATGAATTGTTCAATGATTTGTTACAAAAATGCAGTTATGATTTTTGTGAAATATTTTTATTAGGTTTGACAACATCACAGTATTATCCAATTTTGAAGATGCCTTTATTGTTGGTAGAGTAAGAGAAAGTTGATTGGTTGAGAGCATTAACATATCACCAATGAGATCCATTGTTACATAAATAAGGTATATCCTGTCATTTTACATGACCTTTGACCCATATTATCTGAATCCATTATCATACTCCATATTAAATTGTCTACCTGGCACTGCAGGCTGACAAGTTGTTTTTTGGATCAAAAACTTTGCATTTGATTACATGTCCATCTAGTTATTGGATTGACCATATAGTAACTTACGGATCCGCTACATGCCAACAAGTCACCAAAGAGCATTGACAATATATTGTATGACAACAGTAGTTTGTTTTTCCTACAGTGGCTCAAAGCTACTAAATATTAATGCAACTTATGGTGTGTTAAACGATGACAAGACACAACACAAATTTTGTTTCCTCCCAAAGGGCCTATCCTGGTGAAGAGCCCAGGGCCTGCATTTATGAAACCGTTTTCATGCTCAAACTCAGATTTTGTGCTGAAATCCCATTTTGTGTTCCAGTGATAAAGTTATAAGATTTCACATTATGTCAAGAATTTTCGAGAGACATTCACTTAAATAGCATTTTTAGTGTCAAGACTTGAATGTTTGACCTAATAGTGTCTCATGATTTACCACAGTATGTAAGTTACAAGAAAGCTGATTTGAGCACAGAATCCATGCTTAAGCATAAAAACAGCTTCATGAACACAGGCTCTGAAGAATTATATGCTGGGAAAGCTATAATACTTAAATCAGAATGCAGGCTCTGAAAATCCTTCTTACTGGAGGGTCAACCCCTCCAAAATGGAAAGCAATCTGCCAATTGAAATGTTGTCATAGCTATAGATTCTCATTGCCTTTGGTCACATTGAGAACTGTGATAAGATATATATTATTATTTAGATGTTTTTGTAGGTTGTGCTTTTATACATACATATATATATATAACCAAGATATATACACCATTATTCTGTAGCTAGAGTTGTTCCCCTTATATTACTTGATAAAAGAGGAACTTGTGAGTGCTTTTATCTAAAACAGCCTAAACGTTTTAGTGCTTGTTACAGCACTTAAGATACTATCTAAAACCACCTATTTATTGTAAGTATGACAGAAAGACCGCTGTTTTAAACCACCTAGACCTTTCTAGGGTTTGTGGGGGAGAGACATTTTAGTGCTTGTTATATATAATCACTGTTAAAATACTATTAGGCGGACCTGCAAATGTTTATGCAGGCCTTGCAAGCATTTGTCAAGGCTGGCCTGAAAGCAGCTTCAGATTTCTAGGTCCGACCTTATTTAATAAACGAACAATTATGGTCCGACCGGTTCAACCGTTTAAACGTAAACGGCCATGGACATTACTTTGTGTGTATAGTATACTGTAGAGTAGCTTCCCTTTGTTTAAATGCTCATATTAATTGTACGTGTCGTAATGTTGTTTGGGACCATAGAACATGAAGGAGAACAAGGTATCCTATAAGAAAATGATCAGGGACCAAGATTTACTGAGTTATTCAGGTTCAATTATAGATCAGGTAAAAACCAAGTCATTCTTATGCTTGCTATCAAAATTTGTTTCGACCCAAAGTTTTTTTTATCATCATATAAATCATGCAAAAGAGTGTGGAATTTTGTATCAGAGAAAACTAAGAATTATGATGATTGGCATAATTTGAAGGAAAAAAATTTGGAGATTGTAAAATACAAATTTCCACTTAAGGATTGATTCAGGAGCTTAACTAAAATAAGTCATTATTCCATATGGATATGCTTATGAGGTGCATATTGATGAATACAGGGTAAAATATTGTATTTGCTATGATGTAGATGTGCCATTCTTACCGGTGGTTTTGTCCAATGTCTTCATGTCACCGTGGTGTTTTCTGTCATTTTAGTCTGAGAATGTAAATCTGCAGTAAGTTTTGAATCTTTGGACAAAAATAAAAAACAAGAATTCAACTTTGTTACTGATTCTATATGAAGTGTGCTATATAACCATGACTCCCTACTTCAAGAACAAAACATTAATTTATTTGTGAATAATAATCATGACAACATGCTTCAAGTCCAAAATTTGGATGTAAAATATATCTTATCCTGACTAATGAATAACTTCATATTAAATTCTGTACAACTGTATGTTGTCTGGTAGTAGATTAAACGAATATGATGATGTCATATTTTTGTGCTGAAATAAACATGACATGTAAGTAACCGATGTTTGTGTCAGTTTTGTAAGCAAATTTCTTGTATTAACACAACTTACACAAAGCTTTTTGTTAGTTATAATTTTTTTTTTTTTTTTTTTTTTCATCTTGTACAGATTTGCAGAATCATAATAAGAGTTTAATGCTAGCTTGAAAATTACATAGAAATATTATGAGTTAACTGCTTCATACTATATGCTTCAATGCCTAAATTATCTCCCCTGTTACGCTACCTGCCAACTTATGCTCTATCTATGAGATACAGTACTGATCTTGTACCTACTTGTATATGTAACATTATATACATGTAAGTAATATCTCTGTCACTGTCGTTAATATTGAACCACATTAATTTCAACTCTTGTTTTTTGTTTATATGTTGAGATTTGCTAAGGTACCAGTAATTTACTAACGTGGTATTAAGTCATTCAGTGTTTGCTTTGTATAAGAATTTTTTGCTTTAGACAATTTGAGTACTGTGTATGTACAGCTCACCAGATGCTATTACTGATATATACATAGTGTATGTATGTTTGTGAGAATCAAAATTGTCTCCCTTTTCATTTGGTGTACCAATATATTAGTTTTGGTAGCGCGACAGAGACACAGAAATATGATATGTACGATACAGTACAGGAGAACTATACAATAGTAGAAGAGGAAATTATTGCAGTGTGAAAATGTTTATGTTTTTGTGTTGAGTAAATGAAGGTGAAAATACCTGCGCACGAAAATTTCCACATCGTGTACAGTTCCACACACGAAAGTTACCACTTTTATAGTATTTGAAAAAGGTTTGAGCATGAAAACTGTAATACGAAATAAAGTATAAACATACATTTAAGAAAACCTATACATGATAATACACTCCATACGCTAAAATATTTACTAGAAAGCAATTCATGTTTCCATAGCAACATGATTTGGCCAGACTGCCTTGGTCAATCTGGTATGTGGATTTCTGGGAAATAATTTTCTTCAAAATTGTAATTGAATTTAGTTACAATACTGCATACCCTGAATTTTAATTTTTGATTGGTTTTTGATTTTCAGAATTACTTGTTAACTTGTGAAAAATGTATTGGCAATTGGTGTATTTTGTTCTACCAATGGACTGATAAAGATTTTACCATTTGAAAAACTCCTTTTCCAAGTGAAGTGCAGAACTCTGTTTTGTCCATAAATAATTTTGATATTACTGTTCTTCATTGCTATACATAATGCAACCTTTGTAAAACGAGTTAATGCTTCAGTGTTTAATCTGTCTCTGTGTAAGTTCTGGTTATGTACCCATCAGTCATGGTCGTAATGTTGAAAGCACTGCCTGTATCAGCTCTCATGGTTTACCTTGCTAACTACTAACAAACCATGTTTGACAAACAGAAAATTTACCAGATATCATTCCACAGCTTGCCTGTTTGGTGCTATATCAATAAAAATGAAATTTTCCATAAGAAAAAAACAAACCATTTACATCTTTTTTCAGTTAAATAATAAGCTAACAATTGGAATCAAACTGATTGTCCTACCTTATCGCCCCAGAGTTGCTTAGACCGGGAATATTTAAACTGCTAAATCAAATTAAACAGGGTATATATTGTAGATACGTGCTATTAGAAATTCAAATTTCTTAACTTTTTTTATGGAGGATATTGGAACCTTTTATTCAAGGAGAGTTATAAGTGATATTTTTAATGTGGGGAATAAATATATTTAAAACCACCAGTAAGTTCACTTTTTGAACTGAAAGTCTGTATTGTTTTGATCTCCAGGGAACTGTGTGTGATCTCCTCTTTACCACAAAGTTAACACAGGGTACAGCATTCACCAACCTGATCTCGCTGCTGTTCCAGGTCTTGGATCAGAGCACAGCGTTCACCAACCTGATCTCGCTGCTGTTCCAGGTCTTGGATCAGAGCACAGCGTTCACCAACCTGATCTCGCTGCTGTTCCAGGTCTTAGATCAGAGCACAGCGTTCACAAGTTCAGATGGCCATATCGTTGCCAGTCATTATTGTCCTTTCTCATCAACGCTACATCCAAATTTAAATATCTTCTTGATTTTGCATATACTTCATCTGCTGTATTTAGTATTCATTATCAAATTCAGCTTCATGTGAATTTATCTTTGTAAAATATATACAAATATTTATACCACATTGAAAGTTTGCACAAATTTATATACAATTACCGGTAAATCAGATGGTTTCTAGGCACTGTTTTGACATTTGAATATTATGCATGTGTTTATAATCTGAAAATTATAAACTACCATTCCTTGTAAATATTCATAAGCCTACATTTTAATCTCTCAGGCACCAAGATGGACCAATTAAAGTTTGTTTTATGACAGCACTGTTGTAAACTTTCGATGTCTGAAATCTGATTCTGTTAACCAGATTATGCAGTGGTACATATGTATTATCCATAGACCAACCCAGTTTCATTTTAAGTTGGCCCCATCCCCCTTCAAACCAGATTGCTTGACATAGTATGTTTAATGGGAGGTGAAGGGGAGGAGTATATAAAACAGCACGTCTTAAAAATAATTCTGAGACGAACCCTCTAACCAGGCCATGCATGGATCTCCTTATTTCTATTATCTGACTTCTAATAAAGTGAAACTACTTTTTGTTATAACTGATCCCACATATTATATCATAATCATGTATATTGTACATATCATATTAACTACTTCTTTTTATGAACACCTCTTTTAACCTAAATGTATAAATGTCATATTTGATGATGAATTCTGACCCTAATTTTTGTGTTGTGATCAATTTATTTTAGAGTTTCCCCTTTGTGACCCCAAAAGGCGTACATGGTTTTACATTCTCTGTTTTAGGAAAAAACCCTTTCCGGCCTCTATTTCTAGTGTAGTTTATTTTCTTAAATGTGTGTTATCTGGTCCTCCATGTATTTAAGTTGTATTTATCTACTCATACTTATCAAGTTTTTCTGAAAGTAATATTAGAGTGATCTACTTTGAATTAAACAGTTCTAAAACAAAAGTTGTTAGTGTGCAAACAGTATGTCTGTAGAATTGATAGATATGTGTTGAATTGAAAGTGAAAATATGATTAAAAGAAATTCTTAATCATGAAATGTGTTTATTGTTTTCTTTTCTGAATTATTACAATGTTATAACATAGATATGTTAGTAATTTAATAACTTCTGTTACATCATCTGCTCCACAGTCAAAGTCAAGGTAATTTAAGGTCAAAAGTGTAAAAGATTCCCAAGGACTAATTATATAACCTCCTCCCTCAACCACGAACATACCTACGAAGTAAAGGGGAGAACTATGTAATATGTAAACTTCATTAAAATAATTTTACAATAATTGTAAAAGTTATTCCAACTATCATTCTTGTTTGCCCACATGGAAGTGCAGAGGGCCATAATGTGGGAGGGAACCGGAGGATCTAGATAAAGCTTCATGTTGAGGCAGCTGATCACATACCTAATTTCACAACTGTTCTTTCTGGGAAATGAACCGTCTGTCTTGATGAAAGGCATGCACGTGGCTTTTCCACTTTAATTGTCACTCGGTCACCAAATATACAGTGACCACATTGTTTGTCCAGCCGTGACCCATAAAAACCTCTAAAAAAACTCAATATTTTGTATTATAAACAACATAGATCTGTGTCTTAAATATGTGACCTTAACGTGTCTCATAATGCTCTCGGGTCCCTAACAAAAGGTCAAGGTCAACATGACCGGTTCAAAGTTTAAAGATTAAGTAACAATTGAATGCACTCTATCTTTATTCTGATCACCTTAAAAATGCATTATGGAGTTACATAGGTGTATGTGTGTGCTATGACAGAAAGGCTTGTCTCGCCCTTGTGTAACACCCCCTTGGATTTGTACTAGCTGGGTCAATGGTATCCATCTTGGATTTTCACACTGACACATTGTTATAGCTATTACATTATTGTTATAACTATCGGTACTGGTATGGTCTTTTTCAAATTTTACATGCATGTATATGTTTGTCTTGTTTCTTATAATTAGTTGTGCATATTTCATTTTGAGACTGAAAGTACAGGATTTCGCATTGGATTTTAAGAGATAAAGTTTAATATTGCTATTCTCAAGAATTGCTGAAGGAGTCTCTCTCAAATTTTATCTTTAAAAATGAGATAATATGTCAAACTACAACCTGATTTAAAAGGACACTGCCAAACCCAGCTGTGTGAAGTTTAAGTAAACATTAAGTTACTACCAGATGAATTTACTACATGTATTGACAGGACTTTCAAATTTCATTACATGTACAATCAAATCGTATTAAATAAATATTAATAAAGGTAATTAATTTTACAGTAAATGTAAAAAAAAAAAACCAGCAAAATCATCGATTAAAAAATAGGAAATAAAAAAAGTAATTGCCTGATGACCCCGACGTGATTTGAACACGCAACCTTCTGATCTGGAGTCAGACGCGCTACCGTTGCGCCACGGAGTCTTGCATGACATCAGATGGTAAATACTAAGACATACCTATGGATGTAGGGAAATAGGCCTAGATGGTCTTAAAATAGATACATGCCATGAAATATTGTTGTTATCACGTGAAATAGTGAAGACTTCAATTTATTAACATTTATTGCATCAAAATCATTAAATCAGAGTAAGTTTACTGAAAAATCGTTCCATTGGTTCCGAAAAACCATTAGTCGACGCACAGCTGGCGACGTTTGCCTAGGTGGGCGTGGCCGTAACGTGTTAACGGCCCCGCCCACCTTTCAGTAAGTTCGGACACTTCACGCGTTCAACAGCAAAAGCAGGTAAGCATTTTTACATGAGGAACAAGGGACAGTGTACATTGAAAAATCTGAATGAAATTATACTGCAACCTGTAATTCCTTAGTATGAAATAGGATTTCAAATGAGTATTCATTTTAGTGAAAGCTCGTGGTACCACGGACTTAGATAACACCGTGGTGGTACACACTAAAAAACATGTTGGCCAGATTGAGACAGTACATCAGTTTATTTGCAGATACTACTAACGTTTGTGAAGACAAATTCGTCATGCATCGAAATTACCAAAGATGATAATAGAACTAGATATTTTTTTATTTTTTTTTATACATGTATGACAGTTGTAACTAGGCCACTATATGTTTATTCTTAATAGTACACATATCAACACTAAAAATTAAATTGGTGAAGTTTTAAACGACGTTTAAAATAACGAAACATAATGCATTTTACCCGGCTAACTATGAAAACAAAAGGAGTGGAGTACGGTGACTTGATTTTGGTCATTTTGAACAGGGCAACAGTGATATACGATTACCGTGAAGGTTATAATTCAGTATAAAATCAAGTAGAATACATGAAATAATTATTACTAGAAACTATAACCGTATGAAATAACGTAAATGGAAGCTCCCACTTTGTGACTCTTTCACCAGAAAACTGGTCGTGGTATAGAACATGTCCCACTCTTATGGTAACGTTCTTCGTAAATTACTATTTTTTATTCAAATTATTGTTGAAATTAAGATAAAACATATATTGACGATATGTCATCGACTCTATTCTAACCACAGGACATGACATTTCTGATGATGTTTTCCTTTCGGAACACCTGGTATTATTTTAGATCTCCTTGTACGTTTTTAATGGTCTCCGTTTAAGTCTACCATTTCATATTTTGCCCTCGTTTTATCGATTTTGAGATTTTGAAGCTTCAGCATTCTCTTGGAATTTTTCACTGTTAATAGTGATTTGTAAGAATATAATTACATTTTACTTGAATCGATTTTTTTCTTCTGTTGCTGATAATAATCGAATATGTAATTGGCGCATGTAAGATACACGTTTGTTAAGTGTGATTGAGATGTATTTTGTGTAAGTTTAGGAAGGGTGACGTGTGTAATGTGTGTGTTTCAGAAGCATATTGATTATCTTATATAAAAAGAAACGTAGATGAGTCTGATATACGGATTTTTTATGCGGATACTACATACAAATAACATAACAATTACAAATTTTGTGTTTATGCAACTCTATTAATCGTCACAGTAACGTCGAACTTTCATCTGTTCGATTTCAGTGACCTTCAATGAGATATTTGTACCCGTATACAAGTATTATCTTCGTCTGATATATTTAAATTATAGTTGTAAAGAAATTTAAACTTAAATCTTATTAATAGCTACAGTGATCGTTACATTTTGCGAATTTCGGATTAAAAGTGAATATCCCAGGGTTTCTGATGAATTCCTTGTCAGTAAATTTAACTTTTATTGATCGAAATAAAATATAGCAACCACGTGCACTTTATTATGTTTGAATAAAGCGATGTATACATACAATGTATATATAGTGTTCCCGTATTATATGGTCAAATCTCATAAAATAATCTCTTTTAATTTAAACAGAATATCAGACCAAACCATTTCGGGTGTTAAGGTTTAAGGACAAATCTTAATAGTTCTAATGCATTCCATAGGTATGGCTGTTTAATTACTAGTTGTCTTAGAGAAATGAGACGGGTACTGTATAGTTGTTTATTTTCGCGGGTGTGAAACTTTTTGTGATTTTGTTTCCGGTTTTCGCGAATCACAATTTCTATAAGTCTGTTAGTTCCGAGTGCTAAATAAATTCAATGGTATGTCGTTTGTTAAGTTGTTGTTATCTGTATATGATCCTTGTGAAATGTTTATATACACTAAAAAAAATGGCTGGATGTGCTTTCTAGTGTTAAACCCCACATCTTGTTAAAAAAGTTAACAGATGCATTAGTCATTTTTTTCACCTTTGTGAATAACAGAGCTGCTAATTATGTCTTTAATGGAAGCTATGACGTTCTTCTGTCGTATAAACGAGATACACACTTTGTGAAATATATTGAGGTTTTTATTTCAAACAAAATGCTGATACTTCACAATGCATTAAGCCAAGGCTTGGTTTTGATACTGAGCGCGTTTTCTATTTTAACTGAAGTTCTAACCACAAGTTGTCAAACTTGAGGAAATAAAGACAAACATATGTGAATCGATATAATTTAGCACTATACAGTTTGAGCATGCATGCATCTTAGTCGTGATACGTCGATTATCGAGTCTGTTACAAAATAAACAAATTTACTCCCAACATCAAAATTGTTCCTGAAACATCTCCACAAATTCTGTAAAGAAAAAGAAGAGTTATTAAGTTAATGGATGGATTAAAGATAAGGTTAAATATTACTTTATGATTTTGTCGGATTCGTTTCATCGATTTAGTCGCTTTCCCCCCACATTTTTCAGGTGCATTCCCGTTTTTGTCAGATACTCTTTCCTATCACATGGGATAGCAAGGAAAAAACTCATTCCAGCAGATAAGATACCTTACATTTCTCCATTATTGTCTGGAACTTAATGTTTTATTATCTTGAATTTAATGTATAAAGTTTGTGAAGCGTGCCATTTTCGATGAATTACGTTTAAATATGTTGGAGACATTTGTTGACTGTGTACATAAAATGGAGACATTACTCTACCTTCATAATTAAGTTTGCCATCACTGTTATGATCGGCCAATAAGAACATTTCGTTCACATCTGCAATATCCATCTTATCCCCACTTTTACAAAGTGACTTTTGGAGTTCCTCTGGACTTATCGTACCATCACCGTCTTTGTCAAACTTTTTAAAAGCATCACGAAGCAAATTCTTTTCATATTCCATAGCAGACATTCGTTTTCTCATCATTTCTTCATATTCCTCAAATTCTATGTGACCATTTCCTAAAAATATTAAAACAATAAAAGTTGACACAAGAAAGATATTACATGCACGAAATGCGATTATCATAGGGTGATCTGTTTCCAGTGTGAGTTAGTGATACTATGTCTCAATCAGTAACAGATAATATATCCAAATCATTGGACATCATCATGCCCCAATCCGTTGAAATGATGATTTGTTCGTTTACGGTCGGATTGGTCGAGTGGACAACACGCAGGCGGCCGGGGTTCGATCCCCGAAGTCGTCGTACGCATGGAACATTCAGAGAAAGTGTTTTTTCCTGCCCACGCAACCCCAACAACCCAGGTGGAGTATAAAATGGTCTGAGGTGGATGTTGCGGTATCTGTGCTGTAGCATTCAAATGAGGTGGCACTATAAATGATACCATTGGAAGCACGGTCCCACTACAAACAGAACACAATACATATCCGGCACACACTCAGTCAACCACACATAGAAAGATATTAGCCATGTGGCAAAGGACTAGTAGTTAGCGCCTGATAAGGCAGCTTCTGCGAATTCCTCAAAATTATGGATTAATGATATGCTAATTGTACTGATTGTATATACATTGTACATCTTTGTACTGTAAGGCGCTTTAGAGCGGCTTATTCTAGCTAGACAGGGCGTTATATCAAATGTTGTATATTATATTATTATTGTTTAGATATTTTTATTACTGGCGATGTCATATTTAGTGAAAATCTCTTCCCATTTCAGTCGACAACTCTTGGTAGAGAATGATTCAGTGAAAGTGGTTAAGTAAGCAATAATGTTTTAGTTAATGGTGCCGTTATCATTGACACTCATTGCTATTGCCATCCTCGAAATTCCTTATTTACAGAGAACGTAAGTGAGCATTGTCCTTGGCAATTTGGTGATGTGCTACTGCCGACTTGATCATTAATGCCAGTCGTATCATTTGCCAAAAGCTAGTCATTGGTTGATATTTTGTTGATGCACCGTGAAGAATAAATACACTGTTCCCACCAAACAAACATACATACACTCACCATTCTCGTCTATATCCGAAATCATGTCAACGGCCTCTGACTTGGTAGGATTGAAACCGAGCACTTGTACTCCTTTGTAAATTTCCTCGGCACATAAACGGCCATTCTGGTCCCTGTCCAGGGAATCAAAGGACCTCCTGATTGCTGTGAAAGGAACCAAAGTTATTTTTAAATATTAATTTTGTTTTTTCAACAATTATGTTGAAACAAGTTAACTTATATCAATCACTCTTGTTGACCCGAATGTTAACTTGTCAGGGGGACATTAAAAGTGTGAGGAAACCAGCTAGATTATCCGAAGAAAAAATGTTCAATCTAATAAAGTAAAACACCAAAACCTTCGTAACAAACGTTTGGTGATGAACTCACCTTTTTTGTCCTCGTCTGTTAATTCCTTTCCTTCACGTTTCTGTATTCCCTTCCCTTGTCGCTCCTTGGTCGACATTGTTCCTTGGTTATATTAATCACTAGAAATAAGAAGAAAGGATAAGAAATTATTGTCAGAAATTAAAAAAAAATACGTTTTAATTTTCCAGTGCTTATTACATATGTAGTGAGTAAAATAAAACCAAGAACATTCCAAACTGTCAACAGAAAACACGAAAATAAAATACAATGTCAACCTAACGACAATCATTCTGATAAAAATCATCTGTTACATCAGCTTTCGTTAACATCATACTACGCCTGATCAGATTGTAATATATATATATGTAAATATAGTGGAAGATGAGTCTCATTTTCTTTGTGACTGTCCTGTGTATAGTGATATCAGATATGATCTATTCAAAAACGCAATGAACTCCTTTATTTATTTTAAATGAACTTACTTCAACTGAAAAATTGTTTTATTTATTGCAGGATAATGCGCTTCAATTTTCACTTTCTAAAACAATTTATTTTATGGTGAGACGAATGCGGTCGCTTTTAAATGTGTAAATACAATTGTAAATTATAATGTATCGCACTATTGATAAACTGTAATGTGATTCTATTATTCTATCAGTTTTTTTTACATGTAATACACTATGAGGATATTTTATAGGCATACATGCTAGGTCTTAACTTTCATTTTGTCTCATAAGCCGATATTGGCTGGGCATCTTTTATAAACTCGCTGTATATGATATTTTATGAATGATTGTTTGTGAATTTAATGATGCGTGGCACTATAATAAAACATTGATTGATTGTAATACCAACATATATCACATCACAGCGTCAATACTGTATTACTAACGTTGTGGTGTTCTCATTTCCCCCACTCTTTGGAGAACAAAGAAAGTTTTGATATAGGAAGACAATAGAAAACCAATTAAAGTCAGCTTTACACTAACCCCACAAGTCACACAGGTACTGAACTAACCTGTCTAATCTGTAGTGTTTCTGTGCATGTGATATATCAAATGTAACGTAATTTGGGGTAAACAGATCAATGTGAAAATAACATTATAATACAAAGATAACACCATCACTGCATATTAGTCAAATCTTGTAATGTATTGCTTATACATAACATTACTAAAGCACCTAATACAAATACTTGATACTATAAAGCACTATATTAAAAATAGTCAATATTTGTACATTTACAAGTTAAAATGCCCAAGGAGTTTAAACCAGCACTACTGTCCAACAGTAAAATACCACACGCTCTTTTGTAATGTAACCCAAAGTATAAGTCAGTGTACCCCAAACGGGACAAAACCCAAAATGGGGCACCTGTTGGAAAACGGCCAAGAAATTGGCAGGCAATGCAAAGAAGTACTTTCATGTTGCAATTTTCACTACAGGATACTTTCCTGACATTTAATTGTTTATCTACTTAACTGGATTATGGTTTAAGGTTAGAAATTGCATTGAAAACAACTTTTTAAATTTACATGCCGTGCGGCGCTCTCTATCTGGATGTCATTTTGAGAAACCTATTTCTCAAAACTAATGCTTGTTTGTAGAAGAAATGTAATCGAAATCTCTAAAATAGTTTATCTATATGTGATGTTCTGCTTAAAATGATTGCTTATACCTCACTATTAGCCAAAATTGCAAAGTGTCCCTTTCAGGGTATAGTTCAAACCCATATATGACCCTAATAGTATTTAGTGTTGTATTTGTATTTCCTTGATTTCTTGGTTCAGCGTGTTTTTCAACTTGTTTAAGTTGTTCTTTTCTAACGTTAAGCTATGTTGTTTTCTTTAAAAACTGCAAGCTCTATACCAACTGAAATTGGATGATATATTCTTCATATGTAGTGCATCTCAATACTCAATATAAGCTTCATATAATTGCCACATGTTCCTATTGACCTGTATTTCAAGCCTTCACTGTCTTAAGTCCTGAGGGTCTTTTTATATATTTACGAATAAATCTGATTGCTGGCTAAACCTACCGGAAGTGAGTATGTCGTCTGCTCTTCGATCTTAAACACGGCTGGAGACGGAGTGTTTAGAATGTTTGTTTGTGTAACGGCTCTAAGGAACTGATACTTTAAACAGCTTAATTATATCGATCTTATATATATATTGAATTTTAGAGACCTTTTTTCTCAAAACTAATGCTAGTTTGCAGAAGAAAGTTAATCAGAACCTTTCTTGACTCTAAAATATTTTATCTGTATGTAATTCTTTGCTTATAATGATCGCTTATACCTCACTATTAGCCAAAATTGCAAAGTGTCCCTTTCAGGGTATAGTTCAAACCCATATATGACCCTAATAGTATTTAGTGTTGAATTTGGATTTCCTTGATTTCTTGGCTCAGTGTGTTTTTCATCTTTGTTAAGATGTTCTTTTCTAACATTAAGCTATGTTTGTTCTTTAAAAACTGCAAGTTCTATACCAACTGAACTTGGATGATAGATTCTTCATATGTGGTGCATCTCAATACTCAATATGAGCTTACATAATTGCTGCACGTTGACATGCAGATACAAAGGGGAATAGTTAATGAATATATAACGAGGTTGTACTCTACTGTGTTTATCATATCCAATAATTTTCAAACCAAATTCAAATGAAACGAATGATTATCTTGACATTACATATTAAACAACTCTTAATAAATAAAAGACTCAAGGCTTTCAGAAGTCAAAAAGAACTTCCCCTGAATTTTGCTGAGTCAAAAAATATCTCAAATAGACCAGTCATTAAAACCCCTTAGAGTCAATACTCATTTTGTGAAGTGGAAAAACACACCCTAAAGGGTCTTCTGAAAGTCCTGAAAGATAATAACTATATATCATTATTAATAATAACAATTTTCAACTCACCTTAAGGACAGATCCAACCAAGCTCCTTGGTAAAACACCACTCTTTTCCGAGTCTTTCCCTGATATGGAGTCCAGTTATATCCAGTGCACGTGGTCGTTTCTCTGTGATTTACCCACGGTTAACGTTCCTTTGTAACATTAAATGTTGACATTGAATCGGGCAATTAAGTTTGTCTGTGTTACCTTTAAACACATTTTACGGCAGCCATATTGACCAGGTTTGGATTACATGCTCGAAAGTAGGTGTGCATATAACATAATAAGCAGTAAGTATATATGTATATATATATATGGTTGGTATTATATCCTTCAAGTCCCCGGTAGCTAAAAGATTGGGTAACTTTCACCACTGATTCTTTCACAGCAAAATAAATTCTTAAAATACACCAATATGATATATCTTTACATACCAATAGCAGTGAAATGATGTCAGATGTTCTGGATTTTGTTGTTTGTAAACAATGTTTGTTTTATAACCATTCATTGATAAACTCTAACAAAGCTCTGAGCAACCGTACCAGATGCATGGAAATATCCATTGGTTTGTAAATATAGTACAGAATGTTTTAAAGAATCGAGAACATCTCACATCATTTCACTGCTATGGGTTGTTAAGACAGACCAGAGACTGATGTATTTTGTGGATTCCTTTTGTCATGGAAGATATTGCTTCTTATTTACAACAAACTGAGTTGTTCACTGACTACTGGTTAAAGTTGACCAAACATTGAACAACCGAGGCCTGGTCGTTTGTAAGTTAAGCTGTAATGTAAGTAAATAATACCTTAATGGACTATATATGTATACTAAATGGGTATTTAAGTAGCGACTGGTACACCAGTGAAGTGACATACACGAAAACTATTACAAAACAAGAGGCCAAGGGCCGCGTAGTTCTCTGGGCACATGACTGAAGTGCTTGAAACTGCTGAATCATCCTGTTGTCAGGTCCCGGAAACAAGAGACCTTGCATCAATTATGTTGTCAGGTCCCGGAAACAAGAGACCTTGCATCAATTCTGTTGCCAGGTCCTGGAAACAAGAGACCTTGCATCAATTCTGTTGTCAGATCCCGGAAACAAGAGACCTTGCATCAATTCTGTTACAATGTTCAAGTTCAAGTTCTTTATTACCTTGGGTCGTTTGACCCATCGGTTTCAAGAGTAAGATATATTTGCAATATCTACAGACAATACAATACAATACATGCAATACATACAATACAATACATGCAATGTACAAACAGTATGGAGAGTGTAACAAATTAAGTTAATTTGTTTCTTCTTACATTTGCCGCTTTTATATATTTGGCCAAATTGACAAGTTCTTTTGTGTTATTTACATTCAATAGATTTATCATTTTAAACATGCTCGTTTTTTTTACATAGTACTTTTTCAAAAATTTAACACGCAAATCCGAATAACATGGACATTTCAACATAAAATGAAACTCATCTTCAACGTCATTTAAATTACATACAGTACACACTCTAAGACTACGCTCAATATTTTGATATCTACCTTTTTCTATATTTAGATTATGAGCAGATAACCTAATTTTTGTAATCTCTTTCAAATATTCTCTAGATAATGGTTTTCTTAAGTAACACTGTAAATCAAACTGGTTATAAAGATATGTATAGATATATCCCTTTGAAGATGTTCTTACGTTTTCTTTGCATTCTTGTCTATATATATCAATAAGTCTTTCTCTAATAACATTATAACACATATCATCATTTATTTCTGTTTCCCATATGTAACCAAGGCCAATTCTAAATGAATCATTTTTTATGTAACGATGACATATTTTCAAAAATATAGAAATGTGTCTGTAAGATACGGATGCCTCGCTCCCTGTAATTGGCAGTTTTTAGCATGTCAAAATTCACATTTTAGTTAATTACAAGAATACTAATTAACTTTAAGTACATTTTCAAGTAAATAGAACAACAATTGTTTCAAACTTGCAAGCAGGCATCACAATATTCTCCCACAAATGTATAGTTATATCACTGATGCGATTACAAGCAAATCTGCGACAGAATTTTATATCTATGGCTATAGTTTCTGGGCTTAAAAGAGAACTAACCAGTGGTGGGATATTAAAGTCTTACCAACGTGCCTTTCGTTTCGTTTTGATGTCTCCCCAGTTTGTTTGTGTTGACGATATGGTACATTTATATTCTGTTTTCTTCTTTTAAGGTATTGATAATTAATACAGTATGACATTTTAGCAGGCTCATTTTAAAAAGCACATCTTCATAATAAGGGATTGACACATTGCAGAAACTAATAATTACACTGTAGAGTGGGGATGGTATTATAAGCGGGATATGCTATGGTATATCAATAGCAAAATTTTAAGTCCAGATTTTAGTAAACACTGTAAATTAGTAGATGTTATCGCGTTGTAACTTTGTTTACTGATTACAGAGTAGAACTTTTACGTTGACAATGTATATGAAATCTACATATACTATATATCTATGATATTTGCTTGTTTATATTTTTACCCTTATTAATTCAACGCGAAAATGCATACTCAGCAAATAAACCATTCGTGACTCTAACAGATATTAATACCCCGTCTCTCTCTCTCTCTCTCTCTCTCTCTCTCTCTCTCTCTCTCTCTCTCTCTCTCTCTCTCTCTCTCCAACGTTTGGAGAAATTCACGTTAGACGCCTTTTCTGTAGTTGCAGGGTTAATTAAAACATTGATACTGTTGATATAGCGTTTTTGAGTTAGTTTAAACTTTGTTTTATTCACATAACATATGTAATACATATTACAAATATGATTAAACATAAATGAATTGGAGACAGAAACAAGTTTTAATACACTTATATAAATCTGTTACCTTTCATCGTAACCAGCATTATCAACTAAAGCTTAGGGATAGTGACGTGCATAAATTACAGGGGAAGTTAGAATAGAGTACGGGAAATGCAGTGTAAAATATGGTACATGTACAAAATACGTTATATTCATAAAATCAGTGTATTGTGATCAAGAAAAAATCCTTCAGTTGCGTCATCGTTAATACACTTTATGATTGATTTTCATACTGTTTCAAGAAAGGGATATATATGCATATAAGTAAGATATTAATTAACAAGCTGCATTATAATGCTAATATAAAATATACTCTATGATACTCATAATCCTGTGGATGCTTTTTCCCTACGCAGACAGCTGTTGTGATAGACTGTTCGCATTCCATACACTATTGCTGATCAATTGTTCAATCGTTCTCCTGTTCATTCTTGTCCTCCTGGTATATCCGTTTCCACTAGACTGTTTGCATCGGGAAAGACCATCCACATGACTTACTTTACATATGATATATATTATCATATGAATACAATGGTCATTGATTAAGAATCTTATTCAAATACGTCATAAGATAATAAATCAGAAGTCAATTGATCTATTACTATATTAGCAACTCCGCTATTTCTTTTTACATATGATCGCACACAAACTTCCATGTATGCATCCCCACACATATCCTAACCACATATATCTATCATACATACCTACATACACACATACGTACGTTAGTACATACCTACCCACATACATACATACATGAATTATATTTACTTGCGCACATGTTTGTGCATGGCTGCATGCATAGTTATGCACCCACGTACGTTAATGTATGCACTCCTACACACACACACGCTCACACATGCATGCATACACACATAGATGCATGCGTACATACATACATACATGCATACGTACATGGTTTGAGCTACTCAGAATCCAATCTTTTTTTTGAAACAACATGTATACATTAATAACAATATCATCATACTATTATATAACCTATATTTTATTTTAGGACATTTCCGTTTCACCCATGCTGTTTTCATTTAATTTTGAATCGTTGAATGATGTCAAATGATTTCTCTTAACTGTTTCCGTCGTCTTTTGGAGTCACTGCCACAAGGATAGCATATTTAGTTATAACATTAACATTTGAGATGGGTGTTTCAGCATTTACAGTTGATATTGATGTCTCAACATTCACAGTTGAGATGAGTGTCTCAACATTCGGAGCTGTGATGAGACTCTCAACATTCACAATAGAGACACATACAGATTGGTTAGCGTCAACTTCCACTGTTGAAATAGGTAGAGCATCAAAGTCCTGATCAGATGCGTATGCCCCTATACCTGCGACCAGATAAAATACCCCGGTCATGTTGTTTCCTTGATGGATGTGATAGATACCATCAGCTAAATCCAAAACAATTTTCGCCCCTGGTATCATCCCGTCCAAGCAAACCTTAGTTATGTATTTGCCGACACTGACGCGGTTGTTCTTTTGCAGTCTATTTATGAATTTGATCAATGCTTCGATATCGATGTTCCCCATTAGGCGCCTTAAAAACTGAATGATTCGTTGTATTAGATTTTCTGTCGGGGTATCGGAAGATTCGTTGATTGGTTTCCGTGCTATACCATTGCCATCTAGAACCCAAATCTCTACATATTTATTTCTTGTGGTGTCTGCTCCTTTATTTAGGTCAGCATCTCCTAAAGTGTAACATGAGTTTTTTGCTCTTTTTGTTGTCAAAACGGGTGATACGTTTTGCTTATAATACACGTCCTCTGCCTCTGTTGTTTTTTCATTTTCTATTGCTTCGTTTTTAACAGTAAGATCTCGAACATTTTCTTTCAGTTCTTGACTGGTTAGACCTTTTCTTATGATTTTGACGTCATTTTGCAATTCGTGAATTTTCTTTTGTATAACGTGCAAAGTTTTGTTCAAGTCAGATAATTGTTCGGTATCTGAAGCAGACGCTCCTTTTTGCTTCGAATTGGACTCCGTAATGTGCTCGAGGACTACCCTCTTGCCTGGTTTTGCTGTTTTCCTGACATAATTAGTAACCTTCATGCAAGCTTCTGTTCCTGTTTTGGCAGCTTTGATGGCAGTTTTCATCGTTTTTTTGACAGCTTCCTCTCCAGCCCCTGCTGTCACGCTTTTTTTCATCGCCTTCATTGCTACTTCTGTCCCTGATGTTGCGGCTTTCATTGCTGTGTTCGTCGCTTTTGTGGCAGCTTCTGTCCCTGATGTTGCAGCTGTCATGGTTATTTTTATCGCCTTCATGGCTGCTTCTGTTCCTGTTGTGGCGGCTTTCATGGCTGTTTTCGTTGCTCTCGTGGCAGCTTCTTCTCCTGCTGCCGCTGTCATGGCTGTTTTCATCGCCTTCATCGCTTCTTCTGTTCCTTTTGTGGCTGCTTTCAGGGCTGATTTTGTTGCTTTCGTTGTTGCAGAATTTGTTTCTGTTTTTGCGGCTTTTAATGCTGTTTTCGTTGTTTTCATCGCCTGAATGACCGCCTCTGTTCCGGTTGTGGCGGCTTTCATGGCTGTTTTCGTTGCTCTCGTGGCAGCCTCTTGTCCTGCTGCCGCTGTCATGGCTGTTTTCATCACTTTTGTGGCAGCTTCTGTTCTTGTCGTTGCTGCTTTCAAAGCAGTTACTGAAGCTTTTTTGAACGTTTCTTTTAAAGCGGAAAGCATATTGGCGGTATTCCCGGCGCTGTTATCCTAAGACTGGTATCTGCAAATATATAGATAGGCTAATGATTTATGCAACCTAATGAAGAAACATTTACTAAAATACTATTTCGAAAGACCTGATTTATTTTGAAGGACATTTAAAGCTTATAACAACTTATTTTCTTGTCAATAGTTATAAACCCTTTGTGCTGTATGCAATACCAGACATGAGTGAAATTCTTCTTAGAAAAATAATGATGGACCGTGCGTTCCTTTATCGGGTTCGTACCAGTTGTACCGGTAAAAGAAAATTGGAACATGGAGGGGTCAATGTCCCCATGGCCCCCTCCAGGATTATCCCCGTACTTATAGGTACTTGATAGAAAGAATTTCCTTACTTTTTCGACAAAGAGAAACAAAATATGATGCATTTGAATATTTGTTTTAAATTAATTTCTAAAAACTTGTTGCTTATCATGTATATTGTAACTTTCATGATTTCAGAAAAACTAGTCTTAAAACAGGAAATTAAGTATTGGTTTTTCTTCACTATGTTAGTACATGTATGCATTAACTGGATGTACATTGAAATTCCATTTTGATTCGATTGATGGTATACCAATACAGTATTCTGGTTTTTATCTGTATATATAGTGTAAGTAGTTCTTTGGTATCTCTTGTAATAGCTTATATTTGACTTCAATCTTGAATCCTCTTTCTTACACTTAACAGAGGTTTTTTTCATTGTAACATATTTTTTTTATATCAATATTAACTTTATACCTAAACAACATTTGTATGACAACACAACTCAGTCCCCACAATTAATTTTGATACATGTTACACATTTATATTACACATGTAGGTGAAAATGATTTTAATTATCTTTTTTATTGTGCTCTAACAAGGCCTTTACCAGTCTTATTATAGTAAGAAACACATCCTGACTTGATGCTTATTTGATAATCCTACTGCGTGGATTTTTCATGATTAAGTTGGAGTAGGCCTATTCCATATCAATCTATTGGGATACATTTGTATTCTACAAAAAGACAACTCCCTACACTTTCCGTGAAGAGTTGGGATTGAAATTAGGCTGAAAAGATTTACTTGGGGGAGAGAAGACAAAACAAGCACAGTGTGACATAGGTGTACATACTAAAGTAAACAATCATATACTCAATCACAGGCACTTGACAACTAAAAATAGATGTTAAGATCTAGTCTGATAATATTTAGAAATAGTGTAAACCTTTTTGCTTTGAAACAATGTTTAGAGTTAAAGTGAAAAGCACACATTCACATTGAATTTCCCCATTCTAAATTTGTAATTAGTAGGATTGATCAGAGGGGTTCGTTGCAAATGTCTGAAATACATATATGCTATACTGAAATGGGTCACAGCACACATAAACACACACTGTGACCCATATCAGTATATGTATTTCAGACATTTGTAATGAACCCTGTTGTTGATGCAGTCCGAGTACAGCTAGCAAGGATTACAATCAGTCAAAGTGAATGGATATTTTACCCTTGTAGATTTACTCAGGTATATTGATCTCTTCATGACACCGATGAATTCATAGAAATGTACGGATCGGAAATGAAAATCAGCATCCTATATTAGGCTACAGCAACGTTAACATTTCTGCTCCCCTCGCTACTACCTGGACAGCGATTGGTTGATTTGCGTAAACACAAAATGCCGGGCGAAATGGATGTGACACGAAATACCGACTATTCATTTGTTTATTTAAAGAAACGCACTGTTTGAATCGTATTCCCTAATCAATGGGAAAAATCATCGCTTTTCATAATTGAAGGGCATTTTAATAGTGACGGCAGCTATCTTTGAAACTCACGTGCGATTTAATGGCGTTCCATTATTTGATACCGTACCGAATCGGTACAACTGGTACGAACACGATAAAGGAACACAAGGGTAGTGAATCCATCTTGGAGGCAAAATGTGTGCTGCTGAAACTGCTGAAACTGTGGGAAAAGATCACCGTTTAAATGCATTTTTTAATATTTCCATTTCTATTTAAAAAAGGCTCTATCGTTATACTTGTAGTGTTATCGGGGACCAATCATGTCGCAACGTCAAGTCAAACTTTTACGGAAAATCCCGAATTGTTTCCGATTGACGTTTGTTTATTTTAGGTAATTTTCAAGCGAAATGTGTTTTGTTTTCTCAATAATTTCCTTTCTAATTTATATTTTGAGTTGAAATTTACAAATTTACTCCTTTGAATACACTTACATGAAATACATATTCACTTCTTGTTCTGTTTTTTACTGAGTTATGGCTTCTGGACACATCTCAAACTGGGCAATTTCAAATATCTCTCAATCCTAAGAGCACTCCATGCCAGGTGCCTACTGGCCAAATACCATTGCTCTAGACCTCTTGATTATTCAGAAGATTTCGTTTAAAGGTTTTCAACACATTCGACCCTTTTGATTTCGAAAGTTGGCTAAGGTAAGTTATTGCAAGGTAAGACATTTTATAGCACTTTATGTCAGGTACTTACTGGCCTAGTATCTTGACTCTGAGCCTGCTGATTAATCGGAAGATGTTTGTTTTTAAGTTTAAGGTAGTTGGCCCATGTGACCTTGAAAGTAGGCCAAGGTCACTTAATTGAGGTAACTTTATAGCAGTTTATCCAAGGTACCGACTGGCGAAATAGCATAACCATATGTCAACAAAATCTGAAGAAGAAGTCGTTTAAACAAAAAATTGACGGACGAAGAACAACACACCATGACATAAGTTTACAGGAGCTTCGAGCCAGGTGAAGTGAAAAGCTGTTCCATTATATTATGGTTAAAATTTGTAATAATGCGTCATTTGCTAGAAGTAACCGCCAGAATATAATACATGTAGAATGGTATTTGTTGTTCATGTATAGTGAGAAATTATGAAATATGAAACAAAGTTGCTTTTGACATGTAAACATATCGTGAAATAAAAGCTAATTTATCTAGAATCAAAATAACATTATCTTAGTCATAACTATTTTGACCTAATTGTGACACTTCCTTAAATGACTTTAGCTGTTCATAGGACATTATACCCTATCAACAAACACCTACCTGTGAGTCTTCACAACCTCGGGATGTATCCTATCAAGGACGAATATTTCCCTCTAACATAAGACCCTGTCAACAAACACCTACCTTTGAATCTTTACAACCTCGGGGTGTATCCTAACGAGGACGAATATTTCCCCCTAACATTAGACCCTGTCAACAAACACCTACCTGTGAATCTTTACAACCAGGGGGTGTATCCTATCGAGGACGAATATTTGCCTCCAACATAAGACCCTGTCAACAAACACCTACCTGTGAATCTTCACAACCTCGCGTTGTATCCTAACGAGGACGAATATTTCCCCTAACATTAGACCCTATCAACACACACCTATCTGTGAATCTTCACAACCAGGGGGTGTATCCTATCGAGGACGAATATTTCCCCCTAACATTAGACCCTATCAACAAACACCTACCTGTGAATCTTCACAACCTCGCGTTGTATCCTAACGAGGATGAATATTTCCCCCTAACATTAGACCCTATCAACAAACACCTACCTGTGAATCCTCACAACCTCGGGGTATATACTAACGAGGACGACTATTTCCCCCTAACATTAGACCCTATCAACAAACACCTACCTGTGAATCTTCACAACCAGGGGGTGTATCCTATCGAGGACGAATATTTCCCCCTAACATTAGACCCTATCAACAAACACCTACCTGTGAATCTTCACAACCTCGGGGTGTATCCTAACGAGGACGAATATTTCCCCTAACATTAGACCCTATTAACAAACACCTACCTGTGAATCTTTACAACCAGGGGGTGTATCCTATCGAGGACGAATATGTCCCCCTAACATTAGACCCTATCAACAAACACCTACCTGTGAATCCTCACAACCTCGGGGTGTATCCTAACGAGGACGAATATTTCCCCCTTACATTAGACCCTATCAACAAACACCTACCTGTGAATCTTCACCAACCTCGGGGTGTATCCTAACGAGGACGAATATTTCCCCCTAACATAAGACCCTATCAACAAACACCTACCTGTGAATCCTCACAACCTCGGGGTGTATCTTAACGAGGACGAATATTCCCCCCTAACATTAGACCCTTTTAACAAACACCTACCTATGAATCTTTACAACCTCGGGGTGTATCCTAACGAGGACGAATATGTCCCCCTAACATTAGACCCTATCAACAAACACCTACCTGTTAATCTTCACCAACCTCGGGGTGTATCCTAACGAGGACGAATATGTCCCCCTAACATTAGACCCTATCAACAAACCCCTACCTGTGAATCCTCACAACCTCGGGGGGTATCCTAACGACGACGAATATTTCCCCCTAACATTAGACCCTATTAAAAAACACCTACCTGTGAATCTTCACCAACCTCCGAGTGTATCCTAACGAGGACGAATATTTCCCCCTAACAAAAGACCCTATCAACAAACACCTACCTGTGAATCTTCACCAACCTCCGAGTGTATCCTAACGAGGACGAATATTTCCCCCTAACAAAAGACCCTATCAACAAACACCTACCTGTGAATCCTCACAACCTCGGGGTGTATCCTAACGAGGACGAATATTTCCCCTAACATTAGACCCTATTAACAAACACCTACCTGTGAATCTTCACCAACCTCGGAGTGTATCCTAACGAGGACGAATATTTCCCCCGAACAGAACGTGCGGTTTACATGCCGGTCTATCCTTTACCAATGCTGTGGCTGGGTTTTACCGACACATTTACTATAAAGCTGGGACCTTTCCACGAACGGTATCGGGGTTTTTAGTTTCGATTTTCTGAATAGAGGCAGCAAGCCTGCCAAGTTCTCAACAATGCAATAAGGGTCAAAATGTACGCCAAGCTTGCTAGATGCATGTCATCTCAGTATGAAAATGTTTAAAGTAACGAAAATCAATGTTATGGCATTTAATCATTCAATTATTAAAAATAACAGCTTTAAAAAAGAAGTGAAACAGGCCAGTTGTTTAACAGAAGCTATATTTTATGCATTTAAAGCCGTCAAGCAATACAAATCATGTTGACATGCGTAAGGCCTTCTGGTTATTACTAATAATACACACAGACACAGATGTATATAGACATTCCGCTTAGGTGCACCGTAACAATATCGCCAGACAACCAAGCTGTCAAAATGTTCTTCGGGTAATGGTAGCATTGACATACTTCTCTGTTGGCTTTTGAATTTAACGGTACAAACAAAGTGTGTTATTCATGTACAGATCGAACAGATTCATTGGGGTCGCGATCTTTATCTCAAGGGGAGGACACTAGCCAATCACAAACTCTGCAGAGGATTCTTACATTATATGCCTCTTACAACATGCAGCAGGTAACACCATACACTGAATTGCCCCTGGTTTGCCTAATACGACTGCTACTGATACCGAGTAAGCATGGGAAATGATTATAGTCAAAGGGAGATAAACCCGGCAACAACATTTGACTGAAGTCATCCTCGATACATCCTCGATATCCAGGGGTTACGATCACTTTCGCTCTCTACACCCCTGGAATATGTCATAGCAAAATTGAAGGCTCAGTGTGCGCCACCTTGTTGATGAGACAAGGAGACTAATTCAATCCTTTGATATACATCAAAAGAATCTCGCGGTCACGTAACGGTAAAAGTTGACCGGCTCTGAAGTCGGGCGTCTCCCCTTTGTAATCTTCAAAGGACAGGTATCAGCCTAGCGATTGGTCAGTATTTGCTACCTGAGACCAGTCAAACAGCTCTCTTCGTGCCTTTAATTTTGCTATGACATATTCCAGGGATGTAGAGAGCGAAAGTGAACGTAACACCTGGATATCGAAGATGGCCTCGATACTAAAGGGGTAATGGTCACTTTCGCTCTCTACACCCCTGGGATGTATTATTGCAAAACAATAAGGGCACGCTACTAGTTATTTGCAGAAACATGTCCTTTGAAGATTACAAAGGAGCGACACCCAACTTCAAAGCCAGTCAATTCTTTTGATGTACATCAAAGGATCGAACTAGTTTTGTCACCGAGCCTTTGATTTTGCTATGACATATTCTAGGGGTGCAGAACACGAAAGCGAACGTAACCACTGGAGTATCGAGGACGATGTAGCGTCAGATGTATATGATGCCGTGGAAATCATATCGGAATTGAATCGGAATTGAATGGACTCATAATGCAAGCCAAGTTGTCATTTATTCATGGAGCAATGTTGATCCAGTACTTAACCAAATTGTTTAAGATATCTTATATACTTTATGAGATACCTTATATACTTTATAAGATGTCTTATATACTCTATAATATATCTAATATAATAAATCAGATATCTTATATACTTAATAAGATATCTTATATACTTTTCTTTATAAGATATCTCATATATTATATAAGATATCTCATAAAAGATATAAGATATCTTAAAAATATATTTAAATGAGATATCTTATATATTATATCTTTTATGAGATATCTTATATAATATATTAGAAATCTTATAAAGAAAATTTAATTTAGATATCTTATAAAAGATATAAGATATCTTACATATTATATAATTATCTTATATAATAAATAAGACATCTTATAAAGAAAAGTTTATGAGATATCTTATATCTTTTATAAGATATAAGATATCTCATAAACTTTAAATAAGATATCTTATATGTTTATAAGATATCTTATGTGTTTATAAGATATCTTATATGTTTATAAGATAACTTATATGTTTATAAGATATCTTATGTGAATATAAGATATCTTATATGTTTATAAGATATCTTATATAATTTGGTTAAGTACTGGATCAACATTGCTCCATGAATAAATGACAACTTGGCTTGCCATAGACTAATACTTTTTTGTATGAAAAATCGCTCACTCTAATTATTATCACTCAAACACATCTGGAATTATTCGAGATGTTGGAAATATCGAGGTTTTCTCTCTGTACATAAGGGTAACACGGACTTAAGGGAAATAACAGCAGAGGCGTGCAACTTTTTACTTATATCACATACTTATCACTGAAAAGGGGAAGTTTAATTGTGAAAACAAATTTTCTTACCTTTTTCGTCTTTTCACACGTAGAAAACAGCATTTGCTGTCAGTGAAAATGAACAACAAGGGCCTGTGGTAGTTTAATTGTGACGTCACAATCTTATAGCTTGACCTAACATTGTTGGCGTACCACAGACGTCTTTTTACGCCACGTCAATCACATAGCTGTCCTTTATAGATGTAATCAAAATATATTTGTTTTGTTTGGCACATGTAAGCTATAATTCAATTAATGATATGAATAACACTTGAAATAATGTACCTTCCGCTGTACATGATCTCGTCTGCATTAATATCGTTCAACCAGACTCTTGTTGCCTGCGTATGCTACGCCGAACAGAGAGTCTGGTCAAACCCAGTGCTTTCGTTTTGTGACATCATAACGAGGCTTACCAGATTTCTGGTAAATGATTTCATTAGTCAAAGGTTGACACACCCTTTTCAACTTTTGAAATCAGAATTTGAGTGGCGCAAAATTACATTGAATATTTTAATTCATGACAAAATTACCTGTACATGCATTCCTGAAGTATCCATGTTTTAACTATTAACGAGAAAAATGTTAGAAAATGCTTCAAAAAGAATGATTTCATGTATTTTCATTGGATATTTTACAATAATTCATGCAGCTAACAAGCCAGATTACCTGAGTGAGAACTTGTAGGTGTTTTGAAAAGTGTACAGGTAAAATCTCACTTGCTTTGCATGCTTTTTCCAACTTCAGTCAGCCTTGTTGGCTTGCTTTGTGCTCAGTTGTGATTTATTCAGTGGAAATATATGGCAATATTCTGGAGATTTGACACATTTTCTTACATTGTTCTCGATAATAGTGAATACACGGGTACTTCAGGAATGCATGTACAGGTAAGTTTTCTTCATTAATTTCATTTTTCATTGAAATGTTTAATGGCGTTGACATTACGTCCGGAAACGAAAGTAAAAACACTACCCTCTGGTGATGGTAATTTTAAAGTACTGTGTTTGAGGACTCGCACAACTAAATCATTTACTATATGTTATTACCAAACATTTTAGCTAATAACTTTAATATTTGAAGTTCAAGACTAGTGACAACTGTCTAGATTCATCAATACATACCTTGCAAAGGCTACAAAGTGACTTTTTTGGTAGGTTTAGTGGCATATTGGAGTGTCACAGCGCCAAGAAGTTGACAACCGGAAGTTTACAAGCAAAACCGGTGACCCAAAACAGAAACGCCCTCAGACATTTTGCCCCTGTGCAAATCCGCACACAGACTATTTTTCAAAAGTTAAATACCTGAACATTTCATTTATCTAAACATCTGCCATCAGTTCCTTATTAAACTCCTTCAGTAGCCCAGTAATTAGCCGGAACTTATTTCAGATAGGAACTACAAACATATGAAACACTTGCTGATTGGCGGATTTAGTTGTGTGAGTCCTTGGCCAGACTCTTGAATTAGAAAGTGATCAAGCGTCTGGTTGAAGGAGACTACGTCTGCATGGGAACCAAACAATCTACACTTAACTTCCGGTGTATCTGATAATACCTTCGGGTTTTGTTTATTTATTTTGTCTCTCCTTAGTTTTGTTATCTCTTCGCCCCTGTTGCTACCTGTATCTTATTTCGGTTATTTTTTCTGAATATTGACCTTATGGTATATTCTGTTTTAATTTATTTACGGTATCAATAATATTTGAAACATTCATGTTCCCTTCCTCCGCTTTTGGTGTGTGTTTCTTATCATCTGAAATAGGTAATTATCAAAGAAGAAACTGTTATTTACAAAGTTGTTGAAATCTTTCATTACAAAACTTCAGACCTAGCTAAATTAACTGTAAAGGAGAAACGAATACGTAAAAAATGTGCATAGTAGCAAATTATATTCCAAGCCTTTGAAAACACATTGTCACTATTTGAGTAGCTACTTTACACTTATAACGCGTAAAATCCATTATAAACCTTTTTTATGTTTGGAAGTATTAAATATTTTCATTCTTCATTATGGAGTGAATCAAACCATATATACAATTTAATTTGGTGACGATATCAGGACTAAATCTATATACCCCCTACGAGGGCGCGTGTATGGATGACTTTAAATTAAACAAACTTGTCTTTGTTGATACTCAGTGCGGTCGGCAGAGTAAACATATCCCAGCTTAACAAGGAATTTAGGTAAATCACCGTTTGGAATTGTACGCTCACCATACAAATACTTTCTATTAACGAAATCCAAAACACCTACTTTATACCAGAGAGACAGCTTTGTCAATTCTACCGTAATTATAACGTTATGTAATCCCGACTACATTCAAACGGTGAAAATAGTTGAATCCTTAAATGACATCATTTGTTAGTCTGTGGTTTGTATAGAAGCATCGTCTTCACATCTTCGCTTTGAATGCTTGCAGAATATCCTGCCAACAACGTTGATAATACACCTCTGAAGTATATATACCAGTCATAAGGGGTTGGACAATTGTACGCAATGACATGGCAAAAAATGTACCAGGAAAAGTATAATATAAAGCCAATTTGGACAAAAATACTGTGGTCTACAATTGATTGCCCTGTCGTAAACGATAGGATTTTGTGTGTAATATAGTATATAATGTAAACTGTAGCTTACATCCGGTGGCGACGAATCACACAGGTGCCTACTTGGTGTGGTTTGATAAACCAGAGGAGAAGATTCATCC